GGTCATTAAATACATCGTCCTGCTCTGCAGCTTCCGTCCTCTTCAAAGTGGGGCCAGCAGTCGTCGGTCAGCGCTGTGAACCAGAACCAGAGCGCCCTGTCGCTGGCAGAGATCCAGAAACTGGAAGAGGAGAGAGAACGGCAGACGCGAGAAGAGGTAAAGATGGCAGCCATTTCATTTTCATCTCTCCAAATGTTGTTTTTATGCACACTAACTCATGTCCTATTTATTCCTCCTCCCCCCCACAGCAGCGACGTCAGCAGCAGGAGATGCTGAAGCTCCAGCAGCAGCAGGCCCTGCATCTGGCTCAGCAGCCCCAGGCCAAGATGTCTAGCTGGGGCAGTGTGGCCACACAGCCGGCTGCCACCAAGTCGCTGCTGGAGATTCAGAGGGAGGAAGCCCAGCAGATGAAACAGCGGCAGGAGCAGCCGCAGCCACAGCAGCAGCAGCCACAACAACAACAACAACAACAACAACAGCAGCCACAGCAGCAGCCGCAACCACAGCCTGTCGTCCCACAGCAGAGCCGCAGTCAAAACAAAACTGTAAGAGACCAATTTTGCACTGTGTCTTATCAGCTAAAGGAGGGTATAAGAAATGTACGTGTCCAAAATATTTATTTAGTAACTAACGTTTGGTTATGAAAGCTTGGTTACTCTGAGCAGCTTATTAATTATAAGAAATAGCTGCTTAAGAGACAGAATAGGCACTATTTCACTACACAAATCTCATAGAAATTCAAATGATCATCAAAAAGATTTTAGATTTTTAATAACCAAGTATTTTGCTAAATAAATAAAAGGGCCAGAGTCCAGCATAACATAACATTATCCTCATATCTTTTTGTAATAGATCATTATTTCAGGATTTATTTGAATACAAATGCAACACTTAGGAAAGCTGTTGAACACCTTGGGTTTAAAGAAATTGTGATGTGCATTTTGTTACGTTTCTATGAGCCAATCAATGATTAGGTGATTTAAATGATAAGCAGATGAATCTCTAATGAAATGTATTGTGTTGTCAGTAACATTGTCTTGCTCTCGTCACAGACGTCGTCTCTGAGTAGCTCAGTTTGGGGCTCCATGAACACGAGCCCCTCCACTAACTGGGGCTCGGACTCCAGCAGCATCTGGGGCGACACAAACAACTCTAACTTGGGCTTCTGGGATGAGGCTGTGAAAGAGGCCGTGCAGCAACCGCCTCCAACCAAGAAAGCCAGCACGCAGAAGAACAACAAAGGCAACGCCAACCTCAGGTATTTAATAAGAAGGCCAAAAATAACCTTTGTTAGTCACAACCTCCTGCATGACTGACCATGTATGGATATGAGTAATACACAGATCCTAATGACTTCTTTTTGTCTTCCTCCTGCCTTTTTGTGTACACGTGAAGTAACTCTGTGAGTGGGCGGGTCAATAAGAAAGCCGAGGAGGAGGAGGAGAAGTTGGTCAAGTTGTTTAAAGGGGTCAATAAGAGCCAGCAGGACACCTTCATGCAATGGTGTGAGCAAACCCTGCACACCCTCAACACGGCCAACAATTTGGATGGTGAGACTTTAAAAATATACTTTCAAGGGCAGTCCACCTACAACTATTGGAAAAACCATTCCTTGAAGCCAAACTCACAAATATTCTCCGTCTGTCTCCCTGCCAGTTCCCACGTTTGCATCCTTCCTGAAAGAAGTGGACTCTCCGTATGAGGTGCACGACTACGTCCGGGCCTACCTGGGGGACACTCCCGAGGCCAAGGACTTTGCCAAGCAGTTCATCGAACGACGTGCCAAACAGAACGCTAACCAACAGAAACCGGCACCGCAGAACCAACAGCAAGCCCTCAAGCAGCAGCAGCAGCAGCAGCAGCAGCAGCAGCAGCAGCAGCAGGTGAGCCAGACTGAAACCGAACCAAGAGTTAAAGAGTCAACATATGGTGTTGGTCTTGTGTTCACAAATAGATGTCTGTTCCTCTTGCTGCCCCAAAAATAGATTGTACTATGGGTTATTTCTGACTTGCATGATCAGAGCAACATATCTCTGACGTAGTTTTGCTGTCATTCTCCATCAGCCACAACTGTTATTTACATTTCACCCAGTGACTCCCTCCCTCACGTCACCCCCTTGGATCAGCCCCAAAATATGTAATTGCGCCGCTTATTCCTTGTTACCTAATGGGAATGAAAACCAAACATGTCCATGTGTTCCTCTTGTATAAGCGATCTGGATGCGTATCATATACTTTGATAACGTGTTATATTTTGGTGTGTATCACTAATCTAATTTGCACCACAATGTTTCCGTTTTCTCCTGTCATCCAATGGCAGGAATGTTGTGTTTGTATTCATTGTACGATTAAATCACTCTCCATATAACTGGAATAATCATCAACCCAGCTCGGTCTTTGTGCAGAATCGTCATCATTCTTTGCTGCTACCACATTAAGTCAAGTGGTAACATCTCGCCCAGATCTTCAGTCTTTTAAATGTGCATGTCTGTCTGTCCAGGATTCTGTATGGGGTGGATCATCGTCGGTGTATCAGTCCAACCATACGAGCGCCCAGCAGCAACGCTTTGAGACCGTCACCTCAGGGAAAAAGAAAAAGAAGCAGAAGATGGTCCGCGCAGACCCCAGCCTTCTAGGTAAGAGCTAACACCAGTGTGCTACGTCTGAAAAACCTGCCGACGTGTCATTGCTAACTCGCTTTTTTCTTGTTCAGGTTTTTCTGTGAATGCCTCATCTGAGAGGCTGAATATGGGAGAGATTGAGACTTTGGAGGACTTTTAAGGGACTGCAGCCAAGCAAACCCCACTGACTGTATCCGTTTTGAACAGCAGCCGTTTTACCCGAACCCCCTCTGACACTGCCCCCCCGACTGCTTCCACAACATTCACCTTTTTATGTTCAGTTTCACATTTATCAGATGTACTCTGGTAATCCCTCTTTAAATTTCAGATTGTGAACCAACAGTCATCTCTTGAGGCAGGGTGTGTTTTTCCTTTTTGCTTTCGGACCTATAATCTGATGAAATGGACTGGAGCAAAGCAAAGTGGCCAGTGAAACATCCGACCAGCCCAGAGCAACTTGAGTTTCTGGAAAAAGTCTGCTGGAGCCTTGATGTTTGTTGGGCTTCAGATAGTAGTTCCCAGATCATGTCCTAAAATTCAAAGTGACTTCAAATTTCCAATTTGGCCTCCATTTAATGTTTTTTTTTAAATGTGTGGATATATGGGAAGGGTGGTTGGGGTATAATGGGAAAGGTTAGAGATTATATCCATTGGTTTTGTTTTATTTATTGAAAGTTTTGTCCCTTCACTTTAATCCCCCCCTTCTCTTTCCCCTCCCTGTTTTCTGCTGGGTGTTCATGGGTAATGACGGCAAAAGTAGAGCCCAAGGATTCGTGGCCACTAATGTCCTGTTTTAAGGACATATCAAAAGTTCCAAGTAGTTATCTATTTCTTGTAAAATACTAGGCTGTTTAAAGAATAAACTTTCAATTCTGCATCTGTATTATAATATATGAAAATGATCTGCTGGAGTCATACTTTTTTTTTATTGTGGTATGAAACAATAAAACAGTCTTATGTGTGGGCTGTTCACACCTCTGTCTGAGCTATTCAGAAACAACACACTTGTGCAGTATTCATTCAATTCACGCACACTCACTCGTTCACACTGACACGTTTGAAAGAGCCCCAAAGGTATAGAGGAAATTAAAAGCTGTACATAGAATAGATTGAAGCCAGCTATCAGCATTCACAGTGGTAATGGACTAAAGATCATTTAAATCCCTCTAAAATAAATAATTTTTAAATGAGTAATTTTATGTAACATGCGTTGGTCACAGTGAATTGCTACATATATTCTTTTGACTGTTATTTCCATCTTTCAGTTATGTTTGTGTGAAACAGACCCAATGCAGAAGATTAACTGCCAAATCACCAGTCCCTTATTTTTTTTAGGCTGATTGCTCTCTAGCTGAAAGACACCCTTGACTTAATTCCTAGATCATAAGTTAAAGCTAGTACATTATTTAAAGTACCATTGGTAATGTACAGCATTGGGAATCTGTACCTCAATTTAATGGCAAATATTGTAATGTATACTTTACTTCTTTTCTTATAACAGCTATAGTAATGTTAATGGGATGCAAGCCGACCGTTTCTGTAGCCCGATCCCACACTGAAGACAGAAGGTATTTAAAATCCTACAACTTTAATATGTTTATCTGTCTCTTCTGAGCTCCCCAGCTTTTTAGAAATCCTATACTCATTTTGCAGGAGCACCCCTTTAAAATATTGTTGCATTAGCAGGGCTGTACCGCATACTTTAAACCTTGGAAACTTTCATTAACTTTGACATTTAAATTCTGCGCAACTTCTTTCTTATTTGGTTATTCAGTCTACTTAAATGTGGTTCTTTGCACAGGTGCAGATAAAGACTATGAATACTAATATGAGTTTTAGATAACAGTTGTGGCTGAGTAGGATTGTTTCTCACTTGTGTAAACCAACAATTTCAATGAACTCTAAAGCGTAGTACAGTACAAAACTCGAAATGTATAGAAAAAAATAGACGGTATCTTTAACGACACTCACAAAATGTTATTTCTTATATATTGTCCTTCATTCCATATTTGTTGACGTTAACCCTTTTAAAGGAAAATAAACACACGTTTCACTGCGCTCACCCTCTACCTTGCCCCATGCACTGACAAGTTATGTTCATTTAAAAGTTAATTCCAAATACACACTTTTTAAAATGGCAATGACATCCAGTGTTTCCCACAGAATTTGATTCTATTTGTGGGGTTTATTCTCCCAAAAATATAATTTACAATTTAGCAGACGCCTTATTCCAAAGCGATTTACAATGACCAATTACAAGGACATTCTCCCTGGAGTAACTGAGGGCTAAGTGCCTTACTCAAGGGCACACTAGTGTTCCAGGCGGGATTTGAACTCGCAACCTTCCGATCATCAGCCCACCTCACTATCCATTAAAAATAAATAATATTATTATTTTTCTTTATGAGATTCATTTGTGGCGGACGATATTTAATTGTGGCGACCCGCCACAATTAAATCAATGTATGGGAAACACTGACATAAAGATGACGACAGACATTTAAAGCTTTATTTCAACATCTAAATATAAGCTTTCAATGTAAAAAAGAAAGTGACATTCGGTTCAACCCTATGCGTCAGTTACGCTAATCCAATGATATAATGCAGTCATTCTATATTTAGTTTTCTTTTGAAACTGCAAGTTTCTGCTACTAAAACCTTTCGGATTTTGTTACTTTTAGATCTCAATACTTCCGTCACTGCCATATTTTCTTTGCTGAGACCTTTGTGATGTGACCTGGTCAAGGTCAGCGGTTGCCGAATGTTTACACCGAACATCCAGCTATGTAGCCGGAGGAGTGTGAAGTGGGTGGGCCCTGCGATGATGTGCTCACAAAGTCCACACTGTCCAGACAGTCCTGTGCACACCTAGTCCCACCCCTTCGCTCACCCCTCAGTAGCCTACCTCTGCCCCTGCTGCGCTCTCCTGTACTCTTCTCTTGCTCCTCTTCCAGGGTCAGCCACTCTTTTGAAGTTCGAGGAGTTCTGGAGACGCACATCTTGTCCCTCGCAGCCACCATGATTCACAGCAGCAGTATCCGCAGATTCCTCCTCCTGGTGCTCCTCGGCCTCTTGGTAGCCTTTGTACACACAGGTAAACCACTTTTTGAGTCTGATTGATATGTGTATTTTATCTTTGTGGTTTTCTGACAGGTTTGCAGCCTTACCTGTGTATGCTACAACTAATTATGGTAAAAGAAGAAACAAGAAGACCTGAGTCTGATTTATTGAAAGAAAAAAAATGAACAAATACCACAACATCATATTTTATCAAAAAAAATCCAAAACATTTTAGTATAAGGTTCGATATTCTTAACCTCTATCATTGTTTAGGGTGACTCATGGGCTGGGTCTGCGCCCCTGTAGGTATCAAATCAAAGATGTGTGTGTACGTGTCATTTTTGCCCTCTTTTCCACAAACACACACAAACAAACGTGCACACACACGTTCACAGGCCTGGATGTGTGAGCGTGCAGCCCGATGTAAATGATGCAGTTGTTGAGACTCTTTGAGACTCTGAGCTGTGAAAGCTGCTCTTTGACAAACAGGATGATTCAGTTGCTTTCATGATCCCTGATGTTCATACAAACTCAAATACCTGCCGCCCTCTGACTCCAGCTATGAGGTTGAAGTGGTTCTATGTAATATCCGTTCGAGGTAGTGAAACGTCAACATATGTGGAATGTATTTCATGTATGTAGAGATATTTTGGAGATAGTAGTAAGAAGCAGATTCAATGTGTTCATCTCTTAACATTTATTCACATCAACTGGTTTTCTGCACAAGTGCTATTTAAAGAACACGTTCATATTTAAAGGAACATTTCCAATTTTCTAAATATATATTATTCCTGTGAGTCAACAAAATAATGACTACTAAATCCAAACACTAGTGATAAAACTAAAATAGGTGATGTCACATTTGAGGATAGGGTCTAGATATTTTCCATATCAAATGGATTAGGAAATATGTTATAGATGACACAGAGCACCCAGGGGAATGTTCTGAGTTATTGGGGATTTTATTTCACAACTAAGAACAGTATCAATAAAAAAAAGTTATTAGAAAAAAACAACAATTCAAAAATGGAGCAGATCCAGATGTTGATACTTGATGACATCACAAGTTTTATATTACTTCTCCCTGACTTTGAGATAGAATAGCTAACATTCAGAAAAATAGATGTTACTCTCCCCGCCCATGCAGAACCCGTGTTTCCCTTTAAGATTTGAGATATCAGCCCTGTCACTGGGTCTTTCACTTTCACTTACTGTATTTTTCTGTTCTTCTTTGCAACATCTCTCAAATATACTTGGAAAAAAAGCGTACACTGTAGCAGGGTTCTCAGGCCCAAAGGTCACAGTAAAGGTTGAGAGGGCAAAGTCGAGCATGTCCACCCTGTCCTGTGAAAAAAAAACATTACTGTCCCCCTTTACTGTCCCCTCGTGCCAAAAAGAAAGGCTTTGTGCCAAACACAATGTCAGCGTTTCTAACATTGAGGTGTCATGACCTGCCTTCACCTTTCTAAAAATATCTTGCATTCTCTGTTGGCTTTGTACAATTTAATGTGAAATTGTGTTTTTAATATACCACACTCTTCAAACACAGCCAAGTGAAATGTTTTTAAGGATGACTGTGTTCTGCTTCACATGGAGTCTACACTCTGCAGCTGCTTCTTATCTGTCTGTTGTTGAAATGTAGAGTATGTGATGATTTAAACTAGAGCCAGCAATCTTGACCACATCCACAACCGATCCAGTGACTAAACCAGAATAACATCTGAGCATTGTACTACAATACAGAGAAGGGTTCATCACTAGTTTTGTAACCTAATTCTTCCTTATTTCACATATATTTTACAACGGAAAATCCCCTAAAAGTAAAAAAAAAGGTGAAGCAAGGACACATAAGTCCATCGATGTCATGTTTGAGTTGCGTCCTCCGCGGTTTAAGTTGCTTGGCCAGGTTGTCTTTCACACACACGTCTGTGCGTTTTGTCATCTCTCCGGCTCGTGTGAAATCCTGACTGAAGAGGTCTACCAACAAATGGCCTTCTGTGTTTTCAGTGTCTGAAATCAACCTCCCTTACAGTCTGCCAGGCTTTTATGAGTCTGGACTTGCGTATAGAGGGTTCTTCATTGACACTTAGTCATCTTTAAAAGGTGTGACTCAAAAAGTGTGCAATGATTCCTAAGCAAAGGTAATCCTTACCGTATCCTGGGGGCTACCTGTGTAGTGGTGATACAGGAAAAAGTAACGAAAACGAAAAGCTAAATTGTGATATAATAAAAAAATATGTTTACAGACAATTAAAATGCAAATAAGATTACACACTTTGTGGGAAACTAATCTTTAATAAATATACAATTACTAAGCTGCCATACCTGTGTACAAAATTAAGCAATGTGTTGCAGTAGAACAAAATAGTAGCTAAGCTAGCAAGGACATTTCCAAAATAACTAATTGATCAATTGTAAGCTAGAAATAATGGGAAAAACAGTTCGCTAAAAACAATGAATTAACAGTTCGCAACTGTTGGCTTAAAGTGGTGTATAGTTAGCTAAAAAGTAATGAATGAAGAAAACAGTTAGCTATAGATAAACAGTTAGCAACAGTTAGCTAGAAGTGAGGGATAAACAGTTGGCAACAGTTAGCTAGAAGTGAGGGATACACAGTTAGCAACAGTTAGCTAGAAGTGAGGGATACACAGTTAGTAACAGTTAGCTAGAAGTGAGAGATACACAGTTAGCAACAGTTAGCTAGAAGTGAGGGATACACAGTTAGCAACAGTTAGCTAGAAGTGAGGGATACACAGTTAGTAACAGTTAGCTAGAAGTGAGGGATACACAGTTAGCAACAGTTAGCTAGAAGTGAGGGATACAGTTTGCTACAGGTAGCTAGAACTGAGGAATAAACAGTTAGCAACAGATAGCTAGAAGTGAAGAATACACAATTAGCAACAGGTAGCTTAAAGTGGACCTATCATGCTATATTTGAAACATATATTGTAGGGCCATACCTATATAAAGTATATACACATATATATTTTTTCAAAATACCAAACAGATCCTGCATTTTAGCCATGCCTCATTTCGCTCTATTTGCTCTTTCCAGCCCTGTATTTGCAGGGGGGCTGATTCTGTGAGCTGCAACTGACCACGCCCCCCTGCAGGAGAAGGGAGTTGGCAGTTACTTTGGCATTAGGGCAGGGATATCTAGATACTTTCCAAGGTTTGACATAATGAATTGTGCTACTTTTAAAGCAAGCAACAATGTTTTCAAATCTGTAATTACTATTTTTCTTAGCGGATGCATGTCAATTTAAATCAATACATACAACTATTTTTTAAATCAATAAAATCATTTTCTAAATCCATAAAAACATTTCAATTAATATTGGGAGTCATGTCGTTACTTTGTTGAGAATGTGGCCATACATGTAATAAGCGGGATAATGTGCAGCGACTTGGTCATTATGGGGAAAAGAACACCTTCATGCCGATCTAGATCCCTCCGCTGCGCGTCGGGCTCCTGATCAGCCTGTCGGTGTTCTTTTCTCCATAATGACCGCGTCGCTGCACATTATCCCTTACATATGATTATATAGAGTCATTATTCATTTGTTTTAAAGCAGGAGGCGCAAAAACCTTGCCTCGGGGAGGGAGAAAAAGAGCCACAGCGGAGAATAAACAGAAGGGCAACCATGGCAACCATGCAAGGGAAGACTTCTTCGCTGCTTTTGTGGCAGACTACAGCGCCACTTACAGGCCTGGCATATGTACTACAGCGTCTCCAGCGCTTTCGAGCAGCAATGGCCGGCCGTGGCCCAACCTCTCATTCCCCTGATAGGTGGAGAATTGACCAATAGCCGTAGCGCCACCGTCCTGACGTCAGGACAGTGTTCAAATCTGGATCAGTCTGGATCAGATCCGTTGCAGCCCCTTTTTTAGAGATTTGGGTATGGAGGAAAATAGAGAGGGTTGTGTTTTCTGACACTTGGTGAGTTCCCTGGAACACCGGGGACACATATTCATGTATAAAAGACGTACAAAAGTGCATTTTGCATGATAGGTCCCCTTTAAGTAAATGGATAAGAAGTAGGCCTAAATAAAAAAAAGAAGAAGAATTAGTTACAATTATTCATAATAAAATATAAACGTAGCCTATTAGTAGCCTATTAAACCCATAGTGACACACAACTTGATGGATGATGAAAATGATGATGAAGGGGTAATTGATGATGAAGGTAGCTCAGCTGTGGGGTACATCAGCCAAAAAAGTTTCCACTGACCGAGTAGCTAGTTGTCAGCTGATAAGAATTATGTTTTTTTTCCTTGAGGCCTCAGTTATGTTAATGCTTTAAACAGAAATTGCAAGCTTGAGTGAACTCCTTCGTGTGGAAACAAACAGCAACGGAAAACATCATGTTATTATTTTTGCCTTCCTATTAAATCAAGCTGTCCAGAGGGCACAGCCTTTTACACACAGGGGCTATTTAATAAACAAGTTTGTTTGACATCCAGTACCCAGCCGGTGCCGGTTTGGGCCTGGCCGGTTGTTACTGGTTGCAGCCTGCCGCCCTCCATGGCCGCACAAGCTGCCTTTTGTGCCCTCGGCTGAAGGCCTCATTGATGGCTGAGCTGGCCAGAGGCCCGGGCCTCCAAACCTCCGGCCAGCAACAGGACAGGAAGCTGCACACGACTCAGTCAACACAGCAGCATCAAAATACTCACATCAGAAGAGCATATCAGAATTATACCGCAGCTAACATGCTTATGTTTTAAACTTAAGAGATGCTATCATATGGACGTGAAATAAGATACTAAGATTCTCCTTTGACAATGGCAGAGGAAAAAGAGGAAGAAAGATGTGAAGCAGGGTAAAGTTTACCAAGGGCGTCAGAGGCTACAAAGTAAATATGTTTATGTTAAATAAACTGAGTCTAAATATGTCAGCTGTCAGTTACCATAAAGATGTCTACAACAATCGTTATTTTGGTGGTTTGTCAGCACTAAGTCGTGTTAGGAAACAGAAATGTGGCCCAGAAAGCAACCTTGTTTCTTTGGCTACTGCAGAGGTGTGAAAAGTCTCAGGGTAACTTCATGCTCAGATGGGAGGAATGTCAGAGGACAATTTGGGATGGGAAGAGAAGAGAGGATAATTGGCACAGAGTTGTACACAAGCTGAGCCTCATGCACAATCAACTGCCTCCCCTGGTAAAGCAAAACATATCTACTACTCCGTTTGGATCATTACGGTTTAAGGATTTGTTTAGACAATAGACAAACTTTGTTGAAACCTTGAAATATTTTAAAAGGCAACCGTAGCTTAAATGGTCAAAATGTTCATCCTCTACAAAGACATCCTTATGCATAAGCCTCAGCCGTTAGCCCAGTGAGACAGAGAGAGGCTGTTGGGGTGATTACAGACATGTGTGCAGCCCTGCATCCCAGAGGCCTCCACATCCAGAAAATAGTCAAATAGAGTCATTAGCAAAGCTGTTTTATAGCGTCGTCAGTGAAATTACTACCGTTAGAAAACATACAGTAAAATTATACTGCACACGGATTAAGTGACTGCTTGTAGATCAGCCATGCTTAAGATATGGTTGAGATATTGTTTGAATGGGGTATTATCAACAGTACATGGCAGTTAGCACTCCCTGAGTTTGGAAAAACAGACAGTAGTGCCAGCATGGTTGCAAAGCATTGCACTGCTGTGAATAGGGACGTCATCAAAATATATTTTAGCCCATTGAAAAAATTGTCAGTTTACGTGAACGCTATATTTAAAATATTTTCACTGCTTTACATTGCCGTGACAGTTTTTTCAAATGGTGAGATCAGCAATATCTAGTCAAAGCCACCAGACTCCTTCAACAAAAAAGGTAATTTTAACTCAAATAACAAAGGAGATGCTGGTAAACTGCTGCTTCAATTAGTTAGTTTTAGTTAGACAATCAATTCCCATTTTTGTGATGTAAAAATACTATTAGCAAAAGCATGGGCCTTTCTTTAGGGAGCTTGAATACAATCTGCTGCTATCCCCGTCTACAGAAGTACACAAGCTCCCATGTCTTCTCTCTGTTTTTCCAAATTATGGTCATGATGGCCCCCATATACTCTTGGTACTGACCATGGATAATGACGTCATTAAACGCTATTTTAAAGAATCTAAACATCCCTTTTAAAACAAGCACAAGTGGAATTTAGTTTTCCTTTTGGTCTGCAGACACAGTTGCAGACTCATCAATCAGAGACACCCAGGACACCACGTCAGGAGAACCACCCAGTGACGTGACCACCAAAGACCCTAACCATGACACGACGGAGCAGTCCTTCACCTTCGACTACGAGGACAACACAGACTCTCCGGACCTGCTCGATGAACAATGTAAAATCATCACTTTATACACCAAATTTATTTCAATTATATCTAAACAAATGATTAAAACCATGTGTTTGTGTGTGCAGGGGTGCTGGGGCCAGGGGCCATCACAGCCATTGTTATAGCCGTCTTCTTAGGAACTTCTGTCCTCCTCGCCCTCATCGTCATCACACTCAGAAAGTTCACCGCCTCCTAGAGTGAAATATCCCCATCTTGTGTGCATGTGTTTGTGTGTGTTTGTATGTTCTCTTTTCCCTCTCATCTCAGTCTCTCAACTCTTTTTTGCAGATATGAGTTGTGTCTTTTGCTTCCCTGTAGATGCTATAAATTGTGGCAGGTCCCGTGACTGACTTACAGATGTTTTTCTATAAACACACTTTAAATGTTCCTCAACATGTCCACTTTTACTGCAGGTATAATGTTAGAAACTGGCTGGCTCTTCCAGTGGAAATCATAGCATGTCCATGTCATTCATTTTGTTTTTCCTCTTGATCTTGCATGCTCTAAAGGGGCTTTAATGTTGTGGGCTGTCTATTTGTACATGAGGTGTGTGTGTGCTTTCGTCAGTGTCTGTGATGTACTTTTTTCCTTCAAAAAGAAAGATACACATGAGGTTTGTTTAGTCTTAAACAATAATTATGCCAAAATCATGTCTTAAAATGTCCCTTGGTGTCACCCTTATTATACAAGTTTGTATTGCACCATTTACAAACATTTGTAGAGTCCAAATAAGAAAACATTTAAGAAAGGCTTCTTCGGTGAATGTAAACAGGGTAGTTTGGTTGTTGGTTTGTGCCTGCAGACCAAATGTTAAGATGAATTTGTGTTTGCACTCATGTGAGTATTTGTAGGTTGTTTTTTTGTCATGATTTCAATTGCAGGGGTTTGGAAATTATTTTAGAAACAATTTTGCCTTTTTATTTACGCCTAAGAGTCCTCAGCATACAAATGGATAATGCAATGGTAATATCACTGCCAAATCATTTTGTGATATTTAATAAATAAATAAATCCAATAAATCAGATGCCAAACGTCCTTGACTATTGTGTTTGTTTGTTTTTTACACAACCTCTAAATCCACACATTGAACTGTATAATATTTAGGTTTTTACGCGTTGAGAGTTCTTTGAAACAGGGTTTGATCTGCCTGTGCTAGTGATCAAAAATAAATGGATACACAATAAACACACAATCTTTTCAGCATTGTTTTTGTATTTGACATGCTCATAATCTCTTTATTCTAATGTTTATCATCAATATGTAAAAATGCTGCAACGTTTGTTTATTAAAAATGTTATTATTATTTGTGTTTCAAACGGTTTACTTACAGAAGCCCCAGGCCTCAGTTCAGTCACTCACAACAGTAGGTGGCAGTATAGCTGCCAGCTTCATTTGCATTTACAGAAAAAAGGGTTTTGGCTTTCCAAAAAACGAAAGCTACTTCAAACATACGTGTCCACTGTCTCTCTGATCTATTCCACTTCAAAAGCATGTATCTGTTAACTGTGTTTAAAGTTCAAACAGTCTTCCAAAAACATCATAATTAAAATGTTTTACCTCTGAATACAAGAGGAAAAAACAATCTTCTGACACTTTGCATACACACCTTCACACCTCCACACTTGAAACCAGGAAACCCTCAAACATAATCACAAATCTGCCTCTGCAGAGACCTGAAACATTGAACACTATCAGTATTGGTATAAGACTGTGAGAACCAGCCTTTTCTACAGAAGAATACCAATACTGATCACAGTACCAGAATATAAATCAAAGTATTCGAGTCATCTCTGTCGGGACTACTGCTAGATGTATACTTTGATGCAGAGATGGCAAACCATGTATAAAAAACAAACTCGTTTTTGACCTATAATCTATAAACTCAATGTATTCAAGGCAAGACAAGTTTATTTATATAGCACCTTTCAACACAAGGCAATTCGAAGTGCTTTACAAAAATGAAAGACATTAAGAGCATTAAGAAACATATTATAAAATGGCCTTTAAAAACACTAATTTAAAAGCAAAGATAATAAAACATGAATAACAAAAGGTACATGAATAAAAGTAACAGTAATCAAGAATATAAAGTCTACTGCACCAGGCCATCTCTTCATACGCGTTTCAACATTAAGAGACTGTGTGCATCACCATCCCAACACTAAGCTGAGTAAAAAGTCACAAGATGCAGTGAACAACCACATCCAATATTACTTCATATTTATACAGCGATGGGAATTCCAGTCAGAGGAAATACAATACCACAATCCTGATAGGTGGCAGACAGACATGATAGACACGTGATGTTCTTTTCAATAATCTTTTTATACATTTTAGGGCATAACAAATTCAGCGTTGCCCTTTGCAAATAATACATTTAGATACATTTGATATCATTGTTTGCCTTTTTAGTCTTTCAGCTGATATCCAGTCACACCAGTAGATTTACAACTTTGGTCCAGGTTAATATTCATATTGAACCTTTCACAGTCATGATCCCAATAGGAGGAATCCTCTGACTGTTAAACTGGCTCCTATATTTAAATGTATTCAATACTTTTGTTCATAAACATATAAAAACGTTTGACATTCCCTTAAGCCTCAGCTGCACTTTGGTTTAGTGCTATTTAGCAAATGTCAGTATTCTAACATGTTGTACCTTTAAAAAGCATATAGAAGTGTGATTGCTGGACAGCTTCACCCCTGTCTTGATTCTAAGCAGGCTATAATGCTAAACACACATTTTGCATGGCATGCCTCAGGAAGTGGTGATGAAACAACAAAGATAGAGAAAGCAGAAGTATGTCTAGCACAGAACAGACTGTCAGACTGGCACTGAACATTACACCCCGACTGGCATACGTGAGGTAAGAAAACATCAAGATTGAACTGTACAAGATAATAAGAAAGTGTTAGGTTGGTGTTGGAGTTAAATGTTGATGACAATAAGTATAAAGTAATATTTGAGACTATTCATGTGTTTTGAATGTAATTTATCGAATATAATGTGAGTCACTTGTAATCATCCGTGACTTTAACTATACTGTAGCTTTGGTGGAATTTGTCTTTTTACCTTGAGATACATGGCCGCAGAAATATGTTTTTGTTTCTTCTCTGGGAAACCATTTCTTACTTATCAGAGTAGTAATAATCTGGGTTTTTGTCCTCTGTCTGGAGTGATGGCTGCAGAGTAACTCTAAAATCACTTAAGCTTAAAATGCTTAAAATAATGTTTATTAGTGTTTGACTACATACAGCTGCACTGAAAAGATTTAACATCCATCAAGATCAAGCTATATAAATTAAAGTCTCATTTAAATTCAATATTATTCACCATTATAATTCAATTTATCCCTGACCTAATTCTAATTCTAGCTTACATTGCAAATATAGTGCATGTGATTGAAACTACTGTGTCTTTGGCTGTTATCTAGAAAGATAGATACAAAAACAACAGCTTCTGAAACTGAGAGGTTTCACATGGCTTGGCGCAGTGGCACATCTGTAAGTTTATGTGTGGGCACAATGACGGAAAAACAGATTCACTTTGAAATCAAATCAAACCATTTCCTCTGCAGCGGCAGCAGCAATAGCATGACAAGCAACTGCTCGTTCGAGGGGGTGGACCACCTGATGACATATCTGGAGCTGACTATCTACATTCCCATCTTCCTCGTTGGTCTGTTTTTCAACGTTGCAGCGCTTTTAGTGTTCTGCATCTTCTTGCGGAAATGGACCGAGTCAACTATCCACATGACCAGCTTGGCTCTGATGGACCTGCTCCTCCTCTTCCCCCTTCCCTTCAAAATGCACGCCACCAACCACCTCTGGCCCGCTGACCTTCAACCTCTCTGCTCGGTTTTGGAAAGCCTGTATTTTGTTGGGATTTACGGCAGCATCTACACCATCATGTGTATAGCTTTGGACCGTTGGGTGGCTATCTGTCACCCTTACAAGGCCAAAGTATTGCGTTCACCCAAATTGGCTCTGGGGACCAGCGTGGGGGTCTGGGTGCTGGTGCTGGCAGCCCTCTCCCCCACCGTCTATCGCTTCAGGGAGGGCGGGCAGACGTCTGAATTCCACTGCTTCCACAGATTTCCAATGAAAGGATGGAGCCCTCTGGTGATCATCTGCCTGCAGGTGTTTGGGTTCCTGTTGCCTGCCCTGGTGGTGGTTTACTGCTCGGTTAAGACCATCTGGGTGCTTCAGAAGTCGGGCGAGCACAGCCCCCAGAGCCGGGCCTGTGTGAAGATCATCTACAGCAGTCTAAGTGCCTTCCTGCTGCCCTTCACCCCCAGCCACCTCGGTATCCTGCTGCAGTTCCTGGTAAGAGAAACTAGGAGCTAATTTTGTATAAACTGAACTCAAAAGTGAAGCAGCTTTAAGAAGATAATAGATGAAAGTGAAAACAATCTCACCTCAAGTAGCTGTTCACGAACTCTCTATAAAAACCGTAATCTTCATCAGCAGATGGAGAATTTCCTTTTTTGTAAGTTTGCCTGGTCTGGTTAAAGATATAACAAACCAGTGGGCCTACGGTTATATTATTTGATCATTCTTAACACATATCATATGTAACTTTTTTTAATTTTAGTGTCAAACATGGCATCTGTGGCCATTTCACATCATCAAAAAAGACTAAATAAAGCCTGTATAAAGTCATAACATATCCTTGAGTAGAGACAAACCAATCACTGGCGTTGACCCGGCAGTCTGATGAAGAGATCATCTTCAAACAGACTGATAAGAAAATGTTACACCTTTAGTGTTTTTTAAAGATTCGATCATGTATTATACTTTATATTTGAAAGGCCCTTCTATGGAAACGCATTAGAGAAAAAAAAGTATCTATACATTTTTGTGCAAATTTCTATGTATACTGTATTTGATGTTATCAAATTAACATTATGCTGAAACTATTATTTATTTAATTTAATTTATTTGTATTATCATACATTTTACCCCCTTGTCTCTATTAAATTGATAATATGTTATATTTTGCTGCATGTACCTTTAAATTTCTTAACAAATAATCTGAGGGGAATTTCTTGATGTTTATTATTATTATTATTATTAAAGCACAAATTCAATGAAGTCAGGATGGTTAACCAATATTTTATTTTTTGTGACACTTCCCATGATTCCAGGTACACCAAGGAATAATTCAAGACTGTGGCAACCAGACCAGGATCAGCCTGTTTTTACAGACAGCCATGTGTCTGTCCAACGTCACCTGCTGCCTAGACGCTCTGTGCTACTACTTCATCGCTTATGAGGCGAGGAGCCCCAGACACAGCTTCAGGAGATCAATGATCAACCAAAGAAGAGCCACCGTAAGCACTTCAGAGTTCTGACAGCAATTTAATTGAAATGTGAATATTAGTTGTCAGAGGACGGCTGGTGGTGAATAGGAAACCTGGCTTCATGAGTGTTAACCAAAAACAGGGGAGTGAAACTGAAAGAGAGCATGTATTGTTTTTAGTAGCTAAGTGTGTCATGCACGAGTAACAGGTCAAAATGCAATCTCAATTCGTGCTTGAGAGTAAGGGGGAAACGATGGGATGATACATGAGTTGGTACAATGACAGGAAGCACAAAGACGCCCGTATAGCCTCAGAGAGCTCTGTGGGCGGCAAAAATATCACCTTTCTTCTCAAATGATTTATTGGCGGGTTTGTCATCCATCCTGCACACTTAGAAACTGATGTGTGGTCTGATGAAAATATAAAGCTGTCAAACAGGGCACCAGCTGCTCACTGCACAGCTCTGCAGTCTATGAAGTCAAAAGGCACTGTGTTACTTCTTCAAACACATAACTAATTATAATAACAATCATCATGAGGCTTTATTTATCCCTCATATATGAAATGCGGAACAACCTAAAAGTCAACTTTATAACAAGGTCAATAATTAAAAAGGAAGATAGTGAATCCAAAAATGACTTACATATTGATTGAAATTTCAAATATTCCCTTACCTGGTAAATGAATAAATCAACACAGCAACCAGTAGAGATCTGAAAACACAAATGAAATTGATTATCAATTTTTCAAATATATTTTTTTATTATATTTTTATAAACTCAAACACACTTTTGTTTACTATTTTAATAATTGTTTTTTTATTAGTTTGGTCCCCTGAACATTGTAAATTTCAAGAAAAAATACTTATAATCAAGTACCTAAATCTAACAGTGATTGATGAGACATAAAATATAGCATCACAATATTCACCCCATACATTGTGGATATTCTTACGTGGTTATTTTAATTTTAAATGTATCCATCCTGTACATTATTATATAAATAATGCCTGATGTTTATTGACAATGAAGTGTTCTGCTTGAATGATTTTAAAATGCATCTGTACAGTGATTATACTTAACATATTTTCAATAACTGATCCGAATGAGGAAGTAAATGGAAAGGTCTGGTTGAACGTTTTGGGAAATCAAACTGACTGACAGGGTGAGTAATCAACTTCCTTTGACTCGCAACAAATGCTATAACAAATAACAAATGTAATTTTATTTTGAGTTCTTTGTTGGAATTTTTTTACAATGTAGCTTTAAATGTGCAATATAATTGACATTGTTAAAAGTCCTGTGTGTACTAAGACTTTCAATAAGATTGTTTGATATTAATATGTTTAGTAGAGGATATTTGGTTTTATGTAAATGTTGTCAAAGCTAAACCCAAATGTAAAGTTGCACATGCATTACCTGCCGTACACGCTCTGCCTTATTTCGCTCATGTTGAACAGAGTCCTCTTGTGGTAACAGTGGAAGGTGTTCATAGGTTTCAATAAGGGCTTAACTGTATTTAGAAGCAGCTTTAAATGTTATTGACTATAACCAGTCGGCCATGATTGTATTTACTTGCATTACTTGTGTCTCAATACTTTCATTTTGCACAAGCGTACTGTGTTAAGTTTCAATGTTATTTGTTTGAGCTCAGTAAAAAGAAGTTGTTTTAATTTCAGTTTTCCTTTGAAGTTTTCTTTTGAAAGTGAAATGGTTTTTTCATAAAGCTCTTAAGATTTTTCATCAGTTTTTTTCTGTTTTCTGTGCAAATGGTCTACAAACTAAAGTCCGCTCAAATAAAACAAAGATGTAAACATTTTACAGTAATACTTATCAGAACAAAGCCCTAAACATTGAAAAAGTTGATTTCTAGTATACGACACATGGACCACTAGAAAGAGTTCCAGAAATAAATGCTTTCTCATCAAAGTGATACTGTTTTTGAAACCAAAGCTTCCTCTTTTAAAGAGAAATAAACCGACCCACAGGAGTTTCATCTCATCATAACAATGGCGCTGCAGCTATGTTGTATGGGAAAATCACAAGCATCCCATTATGTGTGCAGCTTTCTCAGGTTAATGATGTGGAAGATGTGTTAAACTCGAAATGAAAAAACTCAAAAGTCAAAATAAGTTTGATCATTTATTTTAAAGCAGCAAGATATCAGAAGTGATATTGACTGTACAATAAAGTAAGGTAATATAGGACGATATGAGCACAAATCACAGGTTTCTCTCAAAGGAGACTTTTCTGCTCCAGGTTGTACATTAAATAGACACCCCAAATATTTTTAAATCGGGACAAATTAACATTGTAGAGATTTGTTGTCACGATAGGAGTGTTTGGGGACTGGCAAAGCTAAAGACAACGGGCAAAATCCAAGTAAAGAGGAAGAGCGAGACAACATGAGTTAAACCTTTGATATAATCTATTCTACAGTAAGTGATCTAACTAAAAAGCATTCTTCTTAAATATTTCTTATATCCTTATAACCAAGCATAGTGCAGACTTTGGTTCCTTCTGTCCTTCTAAAGCACTGCTACTGAATACAGTCTAGAGCCATTATATCCAAGGAGTAGGAAAGTGCGATACCAAAGGAAATGACAAGACAAACCATAAAGAAATAATTCACGAAACAAGTCGATTTTAGATAAAAATCTATGCATGTAACAATAGGTAATCCAGATGAAAATAAATTTACAGTTTATATTGCTTAGGAACAATTACCCTTATATACACACCATTCATTAATGATACGAACAAGCAAAGAAAAGTCTTAACTACATGAGGTATATGCCATTTTCTGACATTCAAAACAAAAAAATAACAAATTAACATGAGTGCACTGTGTGAGCGCTTTCAAGCATCTTGACGGACGCCTACATATCTAATAGGTTAGAAAAAATAACAATAAGGACAAAACAACATTTAAATTAAATAAAGTTTGCGGATGCAAGTGTAACTAACTGACACACTAACAGTGACATTGACAACAGATATATCCAAACACATTCATAACTTCATTCAAATAAACTGGCTGAATAAAAAAAGACATTTCACATGAACATGGAAGAGCATTTCCAACTTGAGACAAAAAAATTAAAAATATAACTCAAAGTAAAATTGTTGGACAAACACTTGCTCTTAAAGTGCAGTTAAAATCCTAAATAATTTAAGAGGTATGGTTTGAAATTGGCTTCAGAGTTGGGTGGCTGTGATTTCCGCTTCAGATTTAGAACCTGTCGCAGATGACGGTCTCAACCACAAAAGTGTTCTCGAAGTGACGGATGCGATGGCAGGTCTTTGTCTCGCGCCTGTCAATACCTGGAAGAGAAAAGAAGACACATTTAGAAAATCTGTTCAGTAGCAGAGGCTTGCTGGGTTTCCCATTTGTTCATTTTGAATAAGCAGCGGTAATCCCCACATAAATATCCATATATGTACTCAGGGGAAGTTGAATGTATCACACCAATCAAAGGCGCCAACGACAGGAGATCTCAGAAGCGCATCACTACCTCCTCCGTAGTGTGTGGATGTGTCCACTGCACTAGCAGTGACTCACACAGCAGGAAGTTCCCAGGCTGGGCCCACACACACACACACACACACACACACTGACTATCAGGCTATTAAAGGAGGGTATTACAAAGCAGACCCAATATCTGCGTGTTCACCAGGAAGCCCTTATTTGGCTCTGGTTACATTTTATTATATGCGTCGTCACATGACTCAACTTCTCACAAACGTTGGTGTGAATTAGACTGATGCTTGGCGGAAGTGATCCATCAACAACTATTTAGCATATCATATTGCCTGTCGAGCTGCAATGATTAATTGACTAAACAAATTATGGATTAAAAGAGAATGTTGGTTATCTAATAAAAGATTTATGAATAGAATATTTAAGGTATTTTTCCAAGGAAGAAAAATGGGTTTTAGCCTCTCGATTTTATGCTATATCAAACTGAATATCTATGTCTATGATCACCTTTGACTTTGAAGAACAGGGATGGACATTTTCCACAATTTTCTGACATTTTATAAGTCAATTGTGAATAATCTGAATAAACGTTAGTTTCAGTGTTAACTGCTGAGTAGATTGGAAATGGAATTGGATGAGTGCACTTACGTCTGTGTGGGTTGCGGCGTCGGAGGCGGTAGGTTTCTTTGCCGTAGCAGAGTCTGTGGATGAAGGGGCCAAGCTGCCTCATGTTCCTCACCCTCCCTGTAACCATCATCTCCTCCTGGATGATGTATGTCTGAGGAAGGTATGTTCCTCTCTGTTTCAAAGAAAAACAAATGATTAATCTCTAGCAATGCTTTTACAACAGCTTCACCAGAGACAAGAGGTGAGGATGTAGTGGGCGCTCACCTTGACGTTGACCAGCAGCTCCCACAGGTTTCGTGGAGGCATCACTAAAGTTGTGTTCAGCTCGGTGATGTAGCATTTGTCCAAAGCAATGTCATGATAAGCTGTGAGGCCCTGAAATCAATAGAACAAAAAGGTTACAATCCGAACGATAATGAATGAATAATGAGATACTTGAACAGGAAAATATAATGAGAGCAAACTAATGGATGCTTCAACCTACCCTGTGAAAGTCGTGGATGATATCGGCGGGGTCACTGCCTCCGAAGTGTGGCACAGGTACACTGATCTGCTCGTAGTTGTCGTCAAGATAGATGCCAACATTCTCCTCGATCTCTTGGCGGCCCCTCATAGGAGCGAACACAGAGTCTTCGTAGACAACCCGGCAGTGGAACAGGCTGTCTTCTGGGATCTGCTAATGGGGCGCAACAGAGCTGAGTTAGAATCTGACAGTTACCTTAAGTTTTTGTATTTGTGTTCATTAAACTTCTGTGCCACGGCGTTCAGGATATGAGGTAAGAAAGGGGAAGTAGAATGAACTGACCTGAGGTATAAAGTAGTAGCGATACACGTAGATAGAAGCCAGCATCAGTCCTGACATGAACACCACCAGGCCAAAGGTGAGGCAGCAGAGGCCAGTTGGAAAAGTCTTCCTCGGCCCAACGGGAAGTATAAGCTTCTCCTGTAAAAAGGAAAGAAAGGAGGTTGATTAGGAGGGCATGATATTTAAAAAAAGGACACAAAGTATTCAAGTAACACAACATGTTTCACCAAAATATGTGCAAAAGGATGCAACTGACATGTGGGGCTTCACATTTGCATTGCAGTAATGGTGCAGCCAAGAAAAACATATATTTTATTAAAGCTACTATGTATGTTTGGACTATGGATGGAGTATCAGCGGAAGTGATGTTCCCCTCACACTGCCATGCTATTCTGTACAAAGTCAAGTAAATTCTGACAGGAGGTGGTTGCTAAGTCGTCAGTGAGCAGAGGAGATCTGATAGACGTAGGACGGACATGAATGAGGCATGCCAGATGCCCACCCACAGTCTCTCAGTCTCCACTGCTCTCCCTACAACTGTTGCTATGGGGAGCGGAAGCAGGGAGAACAGATTGCACAAGGCTCTGACGAAGATGCTCGCACGTGGCCGTCTGGAATTATTATTGGAGGCCTACTTCCACGCTCCATATTTGTTAGTTCCCTAGCACCCTCAGTGGGAGTCAAAACGAGAAGACTTGCGTTGAGGAGTCCCTCAGCAGAGGTGGACATATTAATAGATCTACACACATTGGCTCTGACGCCTAGCACACTGTCGCAGCCAATCAGAATCCACACAGCCTTTTAGATCATGTCTTATTCTTCTGTTGACGTAACAAACTGGTGAAAAAATGCGTTCGTAGAAGGGAAATTGGAATTCAGTGTTACAGTGTGTATCGGGGGAGGGGGCCTAAGACAGCCAGATGGAATCCAATTTGAGAAAGATATTTTTATCATGATGAACTCCTGGGAGGTAGTCCAGAAAGGAGTCTATGAAAAGCTGGACTTATTTTGCAGATCATAAATATATAATTTAGGTTTAACATAAGGAATAATTCCATTTTCCCATCATGTGCACAATAAACTACTCTATTTATCTATCTATGTATCATTTTTAAAGATGTTTCATTCTGTTCACAAATAATGGTTACCCAAGCCCCATGTATGGAAACTAAGGACTTACAGGGTGCATGTTCAGCTCCCTTCAAATGGACTGAAATCTATTGATTAACTCACCAAGATCCTTAACATATAGGATACCAGAATAGCCAAAAGGAAAACAATGACTTCTAACTCCTGACATTTAATGTTGAGAAGTCAATCATGAGCAATGTTTATTTCCAACACACATGATCTTTGGTTAGCATTCTCTATCACAGGTTCATGTCCTCTTAGGCGCAACCTGCTGGATTTACGCGGTAAAACACCTTGTGACGTCACTGACTGGTGCAGTGACCGCATCTAACAGCCCTGTTGTTTTCTTATTTCGACAAAAACCGGAGAGAACTGAGGCTGTGTGCAGTCCTGCTGCCTTTACTGAGTAATGAGAAGGCATTTATTGTGCATACTATTATTCACTTTCATTATTTACGCCTGCACGTATGAAACGTTTTGAGTAATGGTGTAATTTCCGCTGAAGGCACAATTACAGGACGGCCATCTGCAGTGTGTGCTCGCAGTGTCCAAACAAGATGACGTAATGTCAACATCCCCAGACAGGGATGACCTGCCATTACAGGTTACCCCTGTGCCAGTGATGTAAAATGTTTTATTTTCTGTCAGAAATATTTCCTATGCACCGTGTAGAGCAATATAATAAACTGCAGTACGTGTCGTGATGTTAAACTATTCGGTTGCATTAAAAACAAAACATCACTGCAATGCAATCACGTCTGCACAAAATGGCTTTTGTTTATATAAGCACGTTTGCACTAAAAGATCATACCAGAATAAAAGAAAATCCCATAGAGTGACAAGCTAATAACATACAGGTCAACGTTAAATTAATGATACTACTGGTACTAATTAAGTAGCCTACTGGAAGATAAGAAAAATACCACAACACGAAATAATAGAAAAACAAAGTGTGCAAACTCACGTGAGCCTGAGGTATAATGATCTTGTCTCCATCGATCTCTTTGTCGGGCTTCTGCGCCGAAACCGTCTGGAAAGTGATCTTCACCATGTTTGTTTGTTTGTTTGTTTGTTAAAGAGTGTGTGTTCTTTATCTAGTGAGCTGATGATAGTGCGCTGGTTTCCTCCACCGAGCTGGGAAGATTATATAGCGGCAGACCAGTTTCGCCCCCGGGGCTCAGTGACCTCAGAAGAGCGTCTTCTCTGACGAACAAGCACTGTGTGGGTCTGAAGGAAAAGCCGCCTCGCCGCTGTCACAATAAGAGTCCAAGTCCGGTACCAATGTCCAAATTAAACTCGAAATGCGCTGTTTAAGGTCTGTTTAGCAAGACAAATAAATACAATTAAACGCTTAAAGCTGTTTAGCATTAAAATAATCAATTGTATCGTTCGTGTATTAATATAAGATTACATCGTGCTCTTATTCTGAAGGCAAGTGCCCAATATGGTAGTGCTTTCCGTATTTTATTTAAAGCTGCATCTCCTGTTCTGTTCTCAACACTTCCATCCGGAAATGTAGGAATGTATCAAACTCTCAGCCAGCTATAAACAATTTAGTTCGCCCTAGGTCACTATAACTGATAATTATGTATGATAATAATAAATGAGCATCAGCAAAGCATTTAGTGCATACCATTTTACCATAAATTACAATGCAGGAACAATATGTAACCTTGACTTGAGTATTTCATTTATATTTTAATAAATAGTATATTTTATAGTACATTATTATACACAAGTAATGTAAAGCAACATGATGAGCATTATGAGCATTGGTATAACCCTTTACCTTTAGTGTAATATTAGTGTATTAGTGCTTTACATACAAGTTAAAACATATATTTAAAAAACTCTAAGCCTAAGTTAAATGTAATGAACACAACTTTGCAATGTCATAGTTAATCATATCATCAGATGTTAATATTGTTTTCTGCAACTTAAACCCTACACCCAGCAGCCAGGCTCAGCATGGTTGGACCTATAAAGCTATGATAGTGGATCACGGCAGACCAAACGACATGTACTTCTAACTAGAGACATCCACACGTCTATTGTGACTATATGTGGATACCTATGACACAGTGTCGATATGACTCACTGCATACATGAGTTTTAAATAGATGATACGACATAATAAGCTATACTTTGAAGGCTCTATGTACTAATTATACCAGATCATAAACATGTCACTAAATCATCCAAATACAAGGATTCTGTTTTTTCAGCCAGCACTGTTTTAGGCTTTTGTTCATTTGCAGAGCCTCAAGGCTCTTTACACATCTATGTACTTGACAAATGGCTCATATCATCCAATTCACATTAGTTGTTTTTTTAGAGGGAATGGAGCACTTGCCCAGTCCCCATAGGTGAACTAATGGCTCACAATCAAGCATTAAATAGGCTAAGCTGACTAATGATGCAATGTGAGAATTAGCAGATGGCCTATATATATTTAAAGGCAGTGCTTTGAATGTTGGTTTTAAAAGGTTACATTTTGAAGTACTAGATAAGTGCCAGTAGATAAGTGCTACAAATAAATGCAGGTGCCAAAAAAGATAATTTCTTTGTATTCAAAGACATATCATGACACACAAAAATATATTTTACATGCCCTAACCTTTTTTTGGGTAAATGACGAAGTGTTGGGTTTTCTTAAAAGGAGTGTGAAATTCTGAAATAACCTACATATGAAGGACTATATTGTTTTTTCTTTGATTGATAGCAGTCGTTTTCATGCATTCAAGATGCTCTATTATTTCCATAATTTAATTGGTTGTTTCTTATTTGTTTCAGCTGTGGATATAGATGTAAAGCTTTGTGTACTCCCTCTCTGGTTGAATTAATATATTTTAAATCTGTATGCAGATTTCAAAGGTGGAATAAGTACTCATAACTTGTACTTAAGTAAAAGCAGGAATACCACAGTCTAGGAATACCACGAGTAAAAGTCCTGAATTGTAAATGTTACTCAAGTAAAAGTAGAAAAGTCTTAGCATCAAAATAAACGTAATGATCCAAAAGTAATCATTATGCAGCTTAGGCAATTTTCTAATAATATATATGTTTTGATTAGGATTATTGATGCATTACAATGTTTATCAAAGATGGTAAACGTGGAGCTCATTTTAATTACTTTGTATACTGCAGGATAGCTTGTGGATTTACTCCAGGTGTAACTCAATTCTTAATTTAAGTGTTTATTATATTTCATATCATTAATCACAAACTGCTAAATAACTTGAGTAAATGTTCGTAGCTACTTTTTACACCACTGGTAGATTTAGACTAATATCGGGGACAAAAACCAACATGACTACTGGTGATTGGCGGACATGAGCATTGCGCGCTCTCGATGTGTCTTGCTCTCCTAGCCAGTTTCCCCATTCATATGTAAATGAGCCGTCATATATACCTAGCACAAGCCCCCACGGAGCAGCATTTGGGAGCCCAGTCCCTCTGCAAGCTTTGTTGGCTGCTGGGATCGCCCGGCCATCTGTCCCGTTAACGAGCTGTAACGGCTCTCTGGATTACTCACCGACCTCGGCTCCAGAGGGTTTCTGGCAGCGCCTGGGTTAAACTTTAACAACATGGCCCCCAACCGTAACAACACAAACGACACGGACCGAGGTGATAACTGCACTGGAATCAAATCTGAAAGAAAGGTAAGAGCCGGAGTGAAGATTTGATAACAATATCTGTCTTAACTTGGCTGGGAACTGACAAAGTACGTTAACTCCATTGTCTACTCTGTAATGTTTTTGGCAGATGAGGAAACCTCTGGTGGAGAAGAAAAGGAGGGCTCGCATCAATGAAAGTTTACAAGAACTCAGAGTCCTCATGGCGGATTCAGACGTAAGAAACTATGCATATATTTTCAGGCCTGTTATTTGTGTGACGCTAGTGTTTTTCGTCATACAAGTGTGACTTGGTTTAGCTAGCTTGGGTAGCCAGCGCTTGTAACTTACGTTTTGTTTTGTGTCACCCGTTGCAGTTACAATCAAAGATGGAGAATGCCGAAGTGCTGGAGATGACAGTGAAACGGGTGGAGAGCGTCCTCCAAAACCAGGCGCAAGGTAAACATTGTTCAATTTACGTGTAGGCCCATTTAGGAGTAAAGTACGCCATTAAGCAACAGTTTGTGATATATATTACTTAACAAAAAAGTATTACGTTAAATTAGCATATTGCAGTAATGTCCTTGGAGAACAAACTAATTATTGTAAATCGGATTCACGAATTAATTCATAACGTTTAGCGCATTCATATTTTTGATTAACTGTGATGCGGCCACAGGTGGGCATCTTCTGCTCAGCCAATCACAACAGAGAGTTTTGTTTGTTGACAGTTTGTTTTGCTAACTTCCTGGCTCATGGTTGTTGTGTCTCATCTTTCCGTAGAAGTGGACGCCGTGAACCGGGAGGCTTGTGAGCGTTTCGCCGCAGGCTACATTCAGTGTATGCACGACGTGCACACTTTTGTGTCCAGCTGCCCAGGGATTGATCCAACAGTAGCCGCAGAGCTGTTGAACCACCTCCTAGAGAGCATGCCCCTGAACGACGAGGACCGCCTCCGCGTGATGCTGCCGGACACGATGTCAGAGAGTCCCGGCAGTAACAGCAGCACTTGGTCCCCGTCTGAGAGCATGTACTCGGCCCTGGTGTCCCCGACCACCTCCTCTGATGACCTCTGCTCCGACCTGGATGAGACCACAGACTCGGAGCAGAGTCATGTTTCTTCAGAGGAGGAGGCTGACAGCCAGGATGTGTTGAGCTTGCCTGTCATTTGTAACTCCAAGTCAATGTGGAGGCCATGGTAGATCAGTAAAAAAGGAATAGCATGTTTTGCAACACTAGATGTTTTTTGTTAGGATGTTTTGTGTGGTAGAACTCAGTAAAACCCTGCTGAGATGACAACTTTGAAACTTGTTGAGAGGCATCTAAGAAGCTCTTCTTCATTATTGCGGGATTACAATTAAACTAAATTGTATTTAATGAATAAAGTATGTAATTAAGTCTGTTTTGCAGAGGTCAGAGACTTGTAGGGTCTTCATTTGGAAGTGTATTGGCCTTGTTGGGCCTGCCTTCAGTGAAGGGGTAAATGTATATGTAAATATTTACATGTTGAATATGAATCGGCTGTATAGAAGATAGCTTTCCCACTAAAAATGCTTTGATAGTTGTGTGTAAATTATTTTGTATTTAGCGTGTCTTTTTAACTTTGTATTTATAAATGTCCAATCACTTTTAGTAGGCTACCTCATCTGATTGCCTAAGTTTCAACTTTTCAATAAATATCTTTTTGACAACTTCCTCTTTTGTGTTGCTTCTTCTAGAAAAATGCCACGTTTTACACTCGAGGATCCCACAATCCACCCACCCACGGCTGTTTGCAAGATATTGGTTATTACTCTGCAATTGTGGGCCATGTGTGCTCTGATCCCTCAGCACATCGTAGGCATTTGTGAGGTGTGAAATTAGTAATCCTCTCACTCCTTATATAGGCCTAGTTGAGGAGTTGACAAATGGGTTTTATAACTTCTCTGACTTCAGCTTTTTTGATTGATTTTGATACAGTTTTAAAATAACATGGTAACAAATAACTTGCTCATTCATGGAAATAGTCTGTACTTTAAAGGCCACTGATGTCATCAGCTTCCCAGTAAATATGCATGCACTATATATGGTGCTTTAAAAAGGAATACAACTGTGATCCACTGCCAAATAAATCGGTATATGACTTGTAAAGATACAATAACTGATATATACATGTTAATACTTTGCATGCCACCCCGTACTAAGAGCCCTTTGCCTGTTCACACACACTTGTGTCTGCACCCTGAGACGTGACCTCTGTTCCTGAGAGTCACAGACACTGTTCTGCCTCCGCTCTGTCAGCTGCTACTACAAATGAATATGAATAGGCTGGAAGTCTTAATCCATTTCTAGTCAGATGGTGTTCCTGTGATGTCCAAGTGTCAGTTCTTACACTTCCTGACCCAAACTGAGAGGGATCTTTGGTGTAATGACAAGAAACAGATTAATACAGAGAGTGTTGAGGGATTAAAGTAGAGCATTTGTCCTACTTAGCATTACATATATCAAGTATTGTAAAGTGAATACTCAAGTGCTGTATCGCCAGTACATTTACCTGACACAGTTATCAGTTACTTTGCAGATTGTTAAAAAAAAAACAAAAAAAAGGAGTTAATTGTAATATATTACATTGCAAAAGTATAAATTAGGTTGAATAAACTCTACCATGACCAGCTATACATACATATACACTGAACAAAAATATAAATGCAACACTTTTGTTTTTGCTCCCATTTTTCATGAGATGAACTCAAAGATCTAAAACATTTTTTATATACACAAAATAACCATTTCTCTCAAATATTGTTCACAAATCTGAAAAAATCTGTGATAGTGAGCACTTCTCCTTTGTCGATATACTCCATCCCACCTCACAGGTGTGGCATATCAAGATGCTGATTAGACAGCATGATTATTGCACAGGTGTGCCTTAGAATGGCCACAATAAAAGGCCACTCTGAAACGTGCATTTTTGCTTTATTGGGGGGGGTCTGGGGGGGTCCGAAAACCAGGCAGTATCTGGTGTGAGGGGTAGGGGTAGGGTTAGGGTTAGGGTAATGTTGGGAATCGAGTGGCCCATGGTGGTGTTGGGGTTATGGTATGGGCAGGCGTATGTAATGGATGACGAACACAGGCCACTCGATTCACAACATTACCCTAACTCTACCCCTAACCCTACCCCTCACACGAGATACTGACTGGTTTTCGGACCCCCCCAATAAAGCAAAACTGCACGTTTCAGAGTGGCCTTTTATTGTGGCCAGCCTAAGGCACATCTGTGCAATAATCATGCTGTCTAATCAGCATCTTGATATGCCACACCTGTGAGGTGGGATGGATTATCTCGGCAAAGGAGAAGTGCTCACTATCACAGATTTGTTCAGATTTGTGAACAATATTTGAGATAAATGGTTATTTTGTGTATATAGAAAATGTTTTAGATCTTTGAGTTCATCTCATAAAAAATGGGAGCAAAAACAAAAGTGTTGCGTTTATATTTTTGTTCAGTGTACATACATGAGCAGCGGCAGAATGCAGAGGTGGGAGAATTACTAAAAGTAGAAGTACCAGAGTGTAGGAATACATTACAAGTAAAAGTCCTTGATTCATAATGTTACTCAAGTAAAAGTACACAAGTATTGGCATCAAAATATACTTTACCAACAGTAAAACTCATTCTGCAGATTGGTCCATTTCACAATAATATATATGATATGTTTTGATGTATTAAAGTGTTATCAAAGCTGGTAAAGGTGCAGCTAGTTTGAATGACTTTGTATACTGCAGGGTAGCTTGTGAATTTACTCCAGGTTTAACTAAAGTCTTATTGAAGTGTTGATTATATTTAACATCATTAATCCAAATCTGTAAAGTAACTATGGTATTAAATAAATGTAGTACAGTACAAGTACATAATTTACCTCTGAATTGTAGTGGGGTAGGCCTAGAAGTAGCCTACAAAGTAGCATAACATGGAAATAATCAAGTACAAGTATCTAAAAATTGCACTTGAGTCAAAACTACTTAGTAACTTCACATCACTGGTAGAATGTCACTATTTAATCAAAAACTAGATCACTCTTGTAAAAAAGTAGCCTACTTTGCAATTTTACTTCAACATATTTCAGAGGTTATACTGCATTTATTTGTTAAACTAGTTAAAAGTTACTTTGGTAATCAAGACTTTTGTATCATGAATAAATTATAATCTAAACGTATAATAATGGGACATTATTACTTCTTAAACAACATCTGAAAGTTATGCAGATGTGTCACAAACTGACAGGATGACGAGCTTGGTGCCGTCGGGACCAAACCGGATTTGCGGATCTCCAGAGGTGCAAATGACCGCTGCAGGAGGGCAGTTTGTTAATTCAGTTCAGGTGTGAACAGTTGAGGGGGGGGGGGTCCTTTGATCCTGCCTGCTGAGCCGTGGACTGTCTGCAGAGAGCACATCCAGGCTTTTGTCTGAGTGTCGACTCACACAGACATTTGCATTGGGAAGGTGAATGTCACGACTTCAGGAAGGAGAACAACACAAGCATACGTTTTGTTTTAAACATAGTTATAATGTAAAAACGTACTGCCCTAGTTGCTATAATGGTCCCTTTTTCAACATATTAAGGTTTATTTTCATCCAGTAATTTCTAAATCAGTCTTTATTTGTAAAGCATTGCTCTGCTGCAAACAGCCAATCGTTTTCTAAGTCGTTTATACTCGTCAATTAATTGGTGATTGACCCATTAACAGCTTAGAGAACCATTCCTAAATGAGTTTCGTATTTGTCTTATTTAAGCTAATATGTGCTGCTCGTCGATGACACGTCTGTAATAACCTTTAGGAAAGAAAGAAGCAGATATTTTAACACATTAGACGTCACAGTACATTTGGCAAGGTTTTATTTAGAGAACAAATATAACAGAACATTCGCCACTTAAAAAAGGGGGAAATAAAAAGGTGCATTGTTGTCAGTGTCTGTTCAAATAACAGAAAGACAAATGACAAATTCAGGAACATGTTCAATTTGCCATAAAGAGCTTCAAAGTGAAGGAAAGCTCTCCACATTCACTTGACATCTGTGTGAGTTGCTTTATGCCCGTGCAATAACCCTAAACTTCCACTTCTGAGGTGACCACACAAAACAGTAATGAGCTTCAGACACTTCCACAGGATGCTCAGGAGGCTCTTTTCCATATGTATGAGGAGTAACATCAGTGTGATCTGACACACTTTGAAAACTGGGGGAAATTATTTTTTTCCCCAATTTATATGTATCACCCACCATAAACAACATACCAATATTTTCCAGTCCACGGTTGGCTTTATCCTAATGGTTATTTCACAACTCACATTTGAAACAAATGTATACTTAATATTAATGCATGCTTCATTAAGATGAATGCAAAATACACATTTGTTTCAAATATAAACAATTGACCTGTGAAAAAATATAAATATATATAGTCAAAGACTGTTACACTCACACAAGCTTTGAAATGCATTAAATTAAAGTTTCTTTAAATAAGAGGCACGTTTCACAGCTGATACTGACACAAAGGCTGAATGGAAATACGTATAAACAATGAAAGCTTAAAGCAGGGGTCCCCAAACTTTTTCCTGTGAGGGCCACATAACTTTTCCCTTCTCTGATGGGGGCCGGGTCAGTTTGTAACAGAAAAAGTGTGACGATCGCATGGGTGTCTAAACGTAAACATTTATTGTTTTCTAGAAAGCCACACATAACCAAATATTAATAACCCTTTCCGGGATCTTCACAGAAAAAAAGTCAGGAAATAAATAATAACACTATTAATGAAATAAATAACACTATTTATAAAATAAATAATAACCAAATAACCCTCTCTGGGTTCTTTACAGAAAAAAAGTCCATTGAAAATTACTGTAACTTTCTGTTGTGCCGTGCACAATCTTAACAGGTAAAAGTTTAGCTTAGTTGTCAGAGCAGAATCTCTCAAAAATAAACGTGGATTTACGTAAAAAAAACTATTTTTTCGGGGTTCGGGTGTTTTGTTTGATTTTAAACAAACAAAGTCTGGCTTTCAGAATATGAAACTTTTATTTCCAATTTATTTATTTCTCACTCGCAATCTGCTCTTCCGCAGCGCCGCCCCCCCCCCCTCACTCCGCTGAAATTATGAATGTAAGAGTATAGTAATCATAGATAACACTGCAGGGTCCGTTACAGTTTGTTTTCATCTGATTTCAATTAAACAAAGTCTTGGCTTTCAGAATATTAAACTTGTTTCGGCAAATTCAGATGATAAATACAACTTTGAAGCTTCGGCATAATTACAAGCGGAGAACGGAGTAACTTGACGTCACAGCAGGCATAACAACAGCCGGTGTTTCTCGTGATTGTTTTCCCCGGGAAACAAACACAATACACACAAACGCAAAATTACACAAGCACACACACTCACACACACACGTATACACACACACTCGCGAGCTTCCCCTCCAAACAAAAATATCTTCCCTCGGTAGTATTTTGATCATTTGCTCCGCTAATAATCAATCAGATCGATGGATTCCAGAGAAGAGACAACTTTGAAGGCCTTTTTCTCAAAATGATGACTCGGTGACAGTCATTATATAATGTGACATATTTCGCTTAATATTTGAAGTACAAAAACAATCCTGATATCATTAGAAAGCTAGGAATATCCTCTTTCCAACAGTGTATACAACTCAAAAGGTGTCTTCGGGTCAATGCGACTGATTTAGATAGAGCAGGTCACAACATTTTGACAGGGGCTAGTCTAGGATTCGCGTGGCCAGAATGAAAAAAAAAAAATTTAATTAAAAAAATGTAAAAAAAAAAAAAAATCATAATGCGTCTCTGGTATTGTTCAGGGGGCCGGGCCAAATGTGGAGGCGGGCCGTACCCGGCCCGCGGGACTTAGTTTGGGGACCACTGGCTTAAAGCATCATAAGGTTTCAAGTGACACAAAGCTCCCTTTTAATGATACATTCTCATAAACATTATAACATGGAATAAATCTAGCTTTATTCTAGGTTTTTCACCCGTTCCCCCTACATTGCACTGGCGATCAGTAACACATTAACGTTTCCATTTTATGATACGTTATAGTATTACATCACTTACGTTCAATATATAATATTGTACGTTTAGTATTGCCTTGTATGGGAGTACGTTTTCAGGGGATGGAGTTGGTGAAAAGCTTCAGATGGTGAGTCCATGCCTGCTGCATTCGGGAGAAAGTTTATATTTTGGACATTAATTTGCTATTAGTGACTAAACACAACACCTCTCATCTTTTCCTCCATGTGTAGCTCACAAAGTGCAGTTGTGCGTTCATTTAGTGCTTGATGGCTATGCATGCCTGAACAGGAGTGCCTGAAATGTAACTCCGCCTGTTTTTACCACATGCTGACTCAGCGTGCTGTTGTTGTAACTGAGAAAATCACGTCACAAAAAGCTGAATCAACTCTTTTACCGCAGCAGTTTGAACACCAAAGAGCCACTTCTTGCCACGTGAGTGACGCAGCCTCTGGTCTGTCGGTGTGTGTTTGACCTCTACTGTGCTGCCTGGTGCATAAGCACACATTGTGTTTCACCTATGACCTATCAGTGCAGAGGCTGCACTATATTAAGCGCTAAACGGAATGAGTGAATGATCATACGCAGTCACAGAATCCAGCACTCGTATATATTTACATTCAACACAAGTTTTAACTTAAGACAGTAAGGAATGTTGTGAGAAGAGCAAAGGGCCTGTTTGATGCTTCACGCAAAGAAGGCCACTTTTCACAGTTGTGCAGAAACAGAGTCTGACGGGTAATAGGGGACACTTTGAAGATATTGATGAGTTTGTTTTCTAGCTGGTTGTCTCTGAGAGAGAGTTGGAGGGTTCCTCTCTGGGCCTCCGCTGGCAGCCCTCCTCCAGCGCCTCCGTTTCACCGAGGTCAAGGTTTGCCTGTTCCTCCTCCACCGCTGCTGCCTCCGAGGCACCGTTACAGCAGGAGCACGCCTGGGCAGCACAGATAAAAGGAGAAGGTGAAAGGTGATGTAGAAAAAAGTGCACATCTGAGAAACAATGAGAAAGGGGTGGGGTACAATTTTGATGCTTTTCCAAGAAACATCTCCAACCAAAACAAATATACAAACTACTTCTATTTTTCATTATTTATTTGCTTGGTTTGCAAAGTGTAAAAATAATCGGGACTGTGTGTGTCCCAGTTTCACCAAGTGACGTCTTTAAATGTCTTGTGATGTCATTCCAAAACCCAACGATATTCATTAAAAGAAGACTAGAAAGAAAAACAGGAACTAATTTCTTGCATGAAAAATAACTGGTTATCAAAGAGTTGGCCATTTTTTATTGTCAAGTTTTGTCACTGTCAAGAATCATAAATATAAAAAAGGTAGGTTAACCAACATCTTGCCAAAACCCCATATTTTCCACATTTAGAGCCGGACTATATACAATGAATTCTACCTTGATGTCTATCTCCTTTGGAAGACCTCCTCTCTTAATCCAGGTGTGCACCTCCATCAGCTCCTTCTTCTGCTCCTCTGGCTCTTCTCCAGCAGCCTCAGCTTCTCTCTGTCGTCTCTGAGCACTCTCTGGATGTCACTGCAGATAAAGAGGAATACAGAAACAGCCACATTTAAAAATCTACCCAACAGTAAAACAAGAACGTCTAGTTTTTTGCAAACTATCAAAGTATTTGTCACTAAAGCCTTTTATAGACATGTGCAAAGGAGTTAACAGTCTTAGTCGATGCAAAGCCTTCTGTCAAGGGGGCCCTCTAGCGGTCAGTAACTGTCCCTGCAACAACCACTGCAGTTTGATATTTTTAGTCAAGAAACAAATAGTATGCAGGAGTATTCAATAGTCTTGTGACCTATTGAGTTAAAGGTGCATATTTGCATATTGAGAAATAAAAATGACGGATGTTTAGTGTGAAGAACAAACCCCCAATAAGCTCTTTTGTCCTGTGACAACCAGAGCACAGAAATATTTTGCCAGAACTTGTGAGGATAGGAAGCTAAATGAAGATCGTTTTGTTTTATTGTCTCACAAACACATCCTCTATTGCCCATAAACAGGAAACTTATCTATCAATGAGCAAAAGAGGAGAGTTTGTCTGTATACATGCTTAGCGTTATCCTTCATTAACAAACGATGAAACACAGCAATTCCAGCAGTACTTACGTGATGAAATGTTCACTCTGGTCCATCTCCAAAGGCCTGCTGTCGCTGCCATTCAGGTGACCTTTGACCTTCTGGCTGATCTGGGACGAGTCCACGCTGCCAAAGTAGTTACTACTGTTGTTGCTTCCTGAAAACACCAAAAGAGAAAACTATTAAAACGTTGCAACATTTGCTGATTCTGTTTCACTGTAGTGTTTTCTACTTTTTCCTGCTTATTTATCTTTGCGAATGTGTAATGTTGTTTTCATTATCAATATCTGTAAGGTGAAGCTTAAGGTCATACCTTTTCCACTGCCAGACGTCCCACTGGCTGACGTCCTGCTCTTTGATGTCCCGCTGTTTGATGTCCTACTGTTAGACGTCCTGCTATTGGAGGTCCCACTGGCTGAAGTACCACAGCCGTTCGATCCGGAGCCCATGGAGCCCGAGTCGGCTGAGCCGGAGTCCTCGTGGAGAATAATGTCCAACATGTCGCTGGAGAAAGAGTTGCCGTCACTGTTGTTCCCATCGCCACGTGAACTTGTCTGCAAAAGAAAAACATTGAAGGGACATTATTGAGGAGGAGCTTGATTTCCCAGCTTTGGCCAGCAGACTGCAGACTCCTTCATCTCCTGCAGCGTTTCTATACAGGCAGGCACTTTGCATTTATAATCTCAAATGGGAGTATTTATTTGCCGTGAGCATAGAAAACTGTCAATCTCAACAGTCACATGGGACACAATAGCATGTGCTACACAGTAAGGCTGAGCTTGTTAGAACCAAACAGAGACTCTGATCCTTAAGCAGCTGATTTAAAGCTGGGAGAATGATTAAATAACAGAATGTAGTGAACATGAATACATTCATGTGGAAGATTACTATTTGTGTCACCGGTCTGATTTTAGAAATATATAAGAAGGAAAACAAATATTTATATTTGTATGTTCAAACTGCTTTTGATTATGTTGTATGGTTTCAACCTTGGTCTGGTTCTTGCATGCAGAATCAAAGACAGTGTATGTAGTTGCAGTCATACATACAGTACTAGGTACCAAAGTAAGTTTCAGGATTTTTTAGGATCTAACATTTTGTTTTTTTCCATTCTTAGATTGTTTCTTAGTCACATGCTTTGGTTATAATCTGCCATTCTAACTAAAGCCACTCTTGGCAATATTTTTATATATTTGTATATTATATAACATTTCAAAATTAAAAATGCTAATAATTAAACCATTAATAGGAAGAAAATAGTTACAGTTATAGTTTACATATGGATTTTGGAAGGAATGGGATAGGAGTTTTTTTCATGATTTGCCTACCTCTTTGCTGCAAGACCTTCTAGAGCACACTTTATCCCAAGACAAACGATCACAGACACAGTGCGAGCCCTCGCAATACAAGGGTCCAGGTCAGGGGTGCCCAACCAGTCGATCGCGATCGACCGGTCGATCGCGGGGAGATTCCCAGTCGATCGCGAGATGTGTCTAAAAATAGAACAACAATATTCTGTTTTATCGTTAATGTCCTATAACATAATCTTCCTGTGCCAGAATAATGCACTTGAACGCATCAAGGCTTTGTGATTGGCCGGTGTCGCACCGGCGTGACCCCATGTGTCGGGGCGTGGCTGGTGGACAGTGGGCACTATTTCGCTGACGTTGTCCGTGTCAACAGGAGTGACAGTCCGCACACACACAAGACCGCAATTATGGCAGAAGCAAAAAAGCCCAGCAACATATATGATTTTCACTCCGAGTGGGAGGATGATTATTTTTGTATCTATTCCAATTCAAAGTCCATCTGTCTCATCTGCAATGCGAGCGTGGCTTTATCGAAGAAGGGTTATTTAGGAGCGGCATTTCAAAACAGTGCACAAACGCTACGAGACGGAATTCCCTCCTGATTCTGCCCTACGCTCCAAAAGGGGAGGGGCCTGAAAGGACAGCTAAATGCACAGCAGTCCATTTTCACCAGGCCCAACAACAAGAGCAAGGCTGCTACCAGAGCATCTTATCGTGTCAGTCACGTTCTTGAGAAACACATGAAGTCTTTCAAAGACGGCGAAGTTGTGCATTCCTGGAGGCTGCCGATGCGTAATAAAAATAACAGTAGCATTTCAACAGGTTTTTGATATAATAAAAACTCAAGTTAGATACCGTTATTAATCAGCTGTACGTTTTAGTTTGTTTGAACTTATTCATTATAATTATTGTACAAAATGGTATAAGAATGCAAATTTAAATTGATTATAGTCTATTATCAATTCAGGTTAAGAAACTAGTGTTGCTTGCATCCTATTTTTAAAAAGGCATTTATTTGTATACTCTACTAAAATGCAACAAAAAAAAGGTTTGATTCTATTAATTTTGTCTTTTTTATTGCACTTTGACAGCAGATTCTTGTGTAGCTTCAGATCTGAGTTGTCTTATTAGTAAGCCTAATTTATACTTTTGTAGCAACACTATTTTTATATAATGGCAAAGAAAGGGTTCAGAGTCTTTCCTTTTTTCCTGTGTCATATGTGGCAGCACTGTTCAATGTTTCTTGAAAACATGACCCACTGTAGTACGTGACGTGTGAATAAACTCCAACTCTGTATCAACAACACTGTTGTGTAACTTCAGTTAAATACTTGTATGTGTGTAGATTAGAAAGAGGTAAGATAAAGGATCTGCAGTATTTTATGAAGTATTAATCATACAAAGGTCAGTTTTATACAAGTAGAAGTGTGTATTTACCTGGTAGTAGGCTGTCAGTAATGGCTACGCCTCTCTATTTGGACTGGTAGATCTCGGCAGACTGGCAACTTTAAAAGTAGCTCTCGGTTCAAAAAAGGTTGGGCACCCCTGGTCCAGGTGGACCAAGGAGACTGAGAGAAGGCTAAGGGTGTAAGGGATAATAAGATGATTCGTTATCACCCGAGGCCACATTTAATCTGAGGAGTCGAGATTGACTTGCATAGCAATACAAACACAAGAAACTGCTCTAATACTGTGAAAAATGTGGAGGAATTACTGTGTACTCTACATGGCATAACATTGTGGAAAAGTGAGTGACATATGAATGAATGCCTTAGGGCAGGGGTCTGCAACCTGGAGCCGCAAAACATATTTCATAGCTTGATAACTTATAAAGTTGTATTTATTGTCAGACAAAAACTACAGTTTTTTTGCATTTATTAGGCTATTTATTACATTATATAAAACTGTTAACCTCTAATAAGAAACAATGAACTCCTATAAGGAGAATTACAAATAATACACAGGCCTACTTTAAAATAAATTAAACACAGCACTTGGGGAGTCCTCTGCACATTTGAAGGAAACAAAATATAATTAAAATGGGCCCACTTTGAAATAAATAAAATATATAGCTGCACCATAAAAAGAGTTAAAGGTAAGAATGGAGAAACCAGCTCGAGTGCGCTAGAATTTCAAAAAAATACACAACCGGAACAAATCTGCCTCTTCCTTCAGACTTTCTTAGAGTCCCTCCTCCTAAACACACGAACGCGCACATGACCAATGAGGGCACGAGATAAGTTTGTTGCACAGATGGAAGGCTGACAGGCAGGTAGGCCATCCAGTTATTTTAGCCGGGCCAGCTAAAATGATTGGTCGTGCTTTTTACAGCGCTACGGCTTCCAGAGATAAACATTTTTATGTATTATTTGTCAAAGCATTTAATGTATTCATTATTATCGGGACGTTAAGAGCATTCCATGGAATATAACAAAAAGTGTTTTCTGAAATAAATTACATACCCCATTGAATTATGACTGAAGATCGTCAGCTGTTTTCCTCTCCCGTGTTGTTCCTCGATACGTAAAGGCTGCAGCACCTTTGACAACTTCTCTCTACATATCAAACATACCGGTAAACCAGCATCGTTTGCTGTGAAAGCATATAACTCTGTCCACGCAGAATTAAATCCTGTGTTCCTCCGATACTTTTATTTTATTTTATTTATCCATAGTTCGCTCATCGAGCCGGGGGTCAGGTTATACACCTGCAAGAAAAGGCGCTAGCGCGGGACCGTAGCAGGATGTGACGCATATTTTAGTTGACCTAATTAAAACCGTTTTGTTTTTTATTTATGTGTCACAGTATCACCTCAAAATACAAGATACGAAACATTTTCAACCATGCAAGAAAATATAAATAGTCCTACAAATACTTTTATTTTATTTCCTTCTTATTTTTGTCTAAGCTCAAGGGAGCCAGAGCAGAGAGCTTAAAGGGCCGCATGCGGCTCGAGGGCCGCGGGTTGCCGACCCCTGCCTTAGGGGAACATGCATACACAACAATGGTTTAAAGAACCCACAACGATTAAGTTTAAGGAGGCTTTGACATTTTATCCTCACAGTTTAAGAATTGTACTGGGGAGAAATCATAGGCATCAGGAGACTTGAAGAAGAAAATAAGTTGGTTTTGTTGTTTACCTGCTTCATCTCCCTCTCTTTGGCCTGGTTTCCACTGGCTCCCATCTCCCATTCTGCCATATTATTCCCTTGCCCTCCAGAGGAGAGTGCTGTGCAGTCCTGCCGGTCCACACACAGCTCCAGCTCCAGCAGGTTGAGGGGTGAGCTGCAGCGAGACTGAAACAGGGGTGGAGACGCCGGGCCTCCAGACTGTGGCGTGGAGGAGCGAGACTGGCTCTCAACCACGGGCGCCTTTGAGGTTTCCAGGACTGGAGGAAAGTAGAACGCAGAGGGGATGTAGTTCGATTGGAGAGCAAAGTGGTTCGGGAGTTGAACTGGCTCTGGACAGTGAAGGACGGTGAAGCTGCGAAGTGGACCCGGACTGGAAAGGCAACCGGACTAAAAGGCTGCATTTGGGTGGGGAAGCCAGCAGTGGCTGTGTGGAACACTGGCTGTGGAGATTGCAGTGAGGGGGCCAATGGAGAGAAGGGCATGGGCAGCATTAGAGCCACAATAGGAGTGACCATAGGGGTGCTGAATGGAGCAGGGTGGATGGGCTGTGGGCAGGGAGGGGGCTGGGTGCCCCGATTGTCCACAAAGCCTTGATGAGTGGCATCTGTGCGGGGGGCCATGGAATTGGCTCTGGGGTAAACCGGGAGGGGGTAGCCTGGCATCACTGAGGGGTAGGCCATGGGGAAGTTTGACTGCGAGGTGTCAGAGCTCGACCAGGAGGTCAGGTTGAGGCCGTGGGTCAGGAGAGGGGACCGCAGGTGTTGCTGTCTGTGGTGGGACACGGTGCTGTCGGAGGACTCCATCTGCTTCGCCCGCTTTGACTTGGTCTTCTTGTTCCGTGTGCCTCGCCGAGCGGTGGGCTCTGCACTCGGTTCATCCTGCTTGGAGGACTGAGCAGCGGGTATAGCTACAGAGAATACAAATAAGAAAATGTTGAGTCATCTTTTGAATTTTGCAAAATAAACAAGACTTGCAAGTAATAGGCAAGGAGATTACACATTCAGAAACTTGGGTCTTACTTTTGACCGCAATTGTCAGATTGTATAATAATACTGTAATGAACACATTTACGGAGATCTAAGAATACATAATGATTATAATCAAGAGTCCAACTTAGTCTATTTAACTTCAAATATTGTTATAACAAAATTTAACAGAGTTATTATCCTTTAAAAAGGCCTTTGATATGCTGTGTTGGTATGGTGGTCAGGTACCATAGCTGGCGATCTGTTCCCTCTGACGCTCCAGGTACTGAGAGCAGTTTTCTTTAAGCGCTGTAAGTCCTCGATGCTCCTTGAAGTGATACAGAAAGGTCTGCTCCTCCTTCTGCGTATAGGCTGCCAAAACCTGCTTGGTCAACCCGAGTTTCTTATAGGACTCCCTCTCGTGACTGGGAGGTGAAACGACACAGAGAGGAACCCCGGGGCTATGGCTGGATTCCCCTATGATCTCTGTATGTCAGAGGGTGACAGCATAGAAATACATTTAGTATACTCATAGGCAATACAAAATGACTTCTGTAAAACAACATTTAGCATAGATAGCGACGACGACAAAAGCAGAGTTGAACGAGCGTAGTAGAAGCTTCAATTGACACATTCACGGACACCATGGAAAAAATGCCTTAAAAATACAAATGGAGAAAAATGGGAAGCCGCTTCCAGGGCTACTGATGTTATTCACATACTTCCATCATGGGGTGGATCAATTAGCCTTGAGTTTGGCTCACTTACTTGATCAAGGATTACCACAATGCTTATTGAAATAAATGTTTTATATTTGTATCAAATGTACAACAAATAGTACAAATTTGTTTGCTTTCTGTGTTCACCATCGCTGAAGATTTTAAATAATCCGATGACGTTCAAAGTTGTGGAAAAATGAAACGTTATGTATTCTAAGGTGGTGAATTACTCTTTATATGCGCAACTGAATGAGCAGCATCCAATACAATTGCTGGTTTAATGCAATGAAGCTCACATTAGATTATAATTTATCGCAAATGAATAGTTTTATATAAAATCCAAAAAATAAAAAGTATTTTATCACCCCCATTGCAGTAATTTTGGACGGGACCCAATAACCCTGCAAACGTTTTGTGCACATTGAGTAGCACCAAATAAGAATTAAGAAATAGTGGAAATAGTTCACTTTCTGTGTTTGACATATAAGCTGCCAAGCATCCACTGAACAGACACACATGTAAAGACACGGAGAAAGAAGCGCGAACACATACAGTTGAATTTACAGTGCTGTGAAAAGCAGCGTTGCTGATTTCTTCTGTGTCTTTATATTTATCACTCGGAGAAGCTTAAGATCTTCAAAAAGCAGCTAACGCTGTCAAGTCTACAACAGAGTCTAAGCTGAAGAAGAGTGGGCTGATAATCAATATTAAAAATGATTTACAGGTAAGGCAGTTATTGCTGATAAATATGGCCAATATCTTTTTGAAATTGTTGATATGTGAAACATGTGCTTACTAACTTTACACATTTGTTTGTTGTCTTAACCTTTTGTCTCAAGATCTTATATCTTTTTATGACAAATATGCAACAGCAGAAGAAATCAGGTTGGAAATATTTTTCACGGCACTGTACCTGAGTCCGGTTGAGGTTTCTTGTCCCCAACATGCACTATGGTGCTACTGTAGCTACACTGGCTGGTTATGGACACCACACTTTCGGGTTTGTTTGGTACAGAAAGGGGCAGCGATGTGCCCACTACCGCTGTGGCTGCGTCACTGGACTTTTTGTCGTGATCTTCCAAAACGGAGAGAGAAGACTGATTCTTCAACAAGGCTGGTTCTGCCAAAGAGAACAGAGAACAAGTGATACTGACTTCTAGTGAAAGGCTGCATGATGAGGTGACAATAGGTGTCTGCTTTCCTTTCTTTGGTAGTAAAACTGAAGTGGTGAGACATACCTTCAGACACCTGCATGCTGTGAGGTCCTTTCTGTTTGTCCTCATCCGAGTTAGAGGACGTGGTGTTAGAGGAAGAATGGAACTTCCTTTTCATACTGATGGGAACATTACAGCTCTCCAAGTACCTATAGGAACAACAACAACATAACGTCAATTATATGCAACTAATCATCAGTAAGACACATCACAAAGTATTTTACGCTGTTAAATAACCATCCTGAATAATTGTTACAAGGTTAATAATCATTGAAATTGAACTTAAATGTTATAACCACTGAGAGCAATGACAGGCCATGAAATTATGTACATTTTATTGTTTTTTTTTAGTATGGAAAATGATCTATTCTATAAGATCTTAATTGAAGTTTATATGGCTGGGTATGAATTGCGTGGCTACCATTCATCCACATCATGTCTTTATTTCTTACCTGACAACACTGTCCAGACAGCTGATCTGCTGATAGGAGTAGGCGTTCTGATCTTTGAAGACCGTGTCCTCGTTGGAGGAGGACCGGTTCTCCTCCATCGTGACCCCAGTGTCTTTCCAGTGGAGGGGCGTCGAGTCTTTGGGCCGCACCGCCGTCGAGTGTCTCTGTTCACACTCTACTGGAGAAAGGACAGGAGTTAGGGGCGCAATTTCACAACGACTTTTAGCTGTCTCTGGTTCAGACACACACTCAAATATTTACAGATAAATAAGCAGGGAGTTGTCAACTGGACTTACTGCCATTGCTTTTCTTGATGTCTGGTTTGGTTGTCTGATGCTCAAGGCTTTTCTGAAGATGTATTCCTTTACATATTTCCTGAAAGGTCCGCTGTGAAATAGAAACCAAATTTGTTGATACGACAATTTATTAAGACCTTTTGATAAATTAAACAGAATAGAATAAATTGGCTAAAAAGCTGAGGCTGAGTATAAACTTTTCCCATATCATCCTGTAGCAGGACCACGCTGTACTAAGCTGTGAGTATTTGGGTTTTACTCACCAGTCGTGCTTTGTCGCTCACTTCCTCCTCCTCTTGTTGGATCTTGGCCCCGTTGCTGTTGTTAAGGCTCTCGTTAGAGGAGCTCATGCCCACAAGGTGGTCGTTTCTTGTTCAGACTGCAGTAACCACTGTTATGGACCGGCTGATAGGAACACAGAGAGGGAACAAAGTTGAAAAAAGGATTGGATTGGATGTTGCTTAAATCCCTCAGCTGTTTACATATCAACACTTGCATCTTTTATCCTTTCACACCTGTAGCAGGAGCCGGTGGATCTGCTCAGTAATCTCCTGGATGTCATTGTCCATGGTTTTCATCTCAATGACAGTTGAGACAGGGGCCGAGAAAACATCTTCGTTCACAGGGCCCCTGGTGAACAAAAAGCACATCAGGATGTATCAGAAGTCGAAATGTGAAACTCCCATATATTTAAAGCAACCATGACAGACTGTACATCGATTAGACTGTCATACTCACATTCGCACTTTGTGTCTTCCCATAACAAAGGACACCTTGCGGCTCCAGGGGTTGACAAAACTGGACCAGCTGGTGTCCAGAATGAGGTATTCTCCATTTCGCGCACAGAACCGGATGGAGGAGTGGTCGAATGGTTGTCCTGCAAATTGAAGAACTGCAGAGGAAAAGCCAAAAATAATATAGTTAGATCATGTTTGGGAAAGAGACATGGAAACTTCTGAAATCTATTTCATTCTGGGGACTCACTCTTTTTGTGAATGGCCAACATAATCGGTCGGTCATTGGGATGCAGGTGGAGGAGAATTTGTGTGCCAATGAGGTCTTGGGGAGATAACCAAGGAGAGGAACCGCCCTGAAACACACATACACATGACAAATTGCTGTGTTAGTTAGCAAGCAACAACACCACTTCTTATAGTTTGGGTATAGTTTTGGTTTAAGCTTAGAAGAAAAAACATCCTGCAATCGCTTACCTCTCATCAACATCCTGAAACAAGCAACTCGGTGTGTGTGTGGTGGTGAAGACGCGTTTGTCAGATAGAATTCTGGGTGCTTAAGGGAAAAGAAAGGATTTAAATTGTTAGAGTCTCTTCTATATCAAACCTTTTCAAGTTATAAATTGCAGGAACAAAACAAAAATAAATTCTAACTTATAACTTAAGTCACTTATCTGACAATTTGTATAAATGTTTCTAGTGCAATTTACGGAACTGTACAGTTTTTGAACAGTGTAACAGAGTCATGAATTGTTCTTACCATCATAACCAGAGTGAACTCTCTCTGCCAGCAGGAGGCAGCAGAACTGGTCTTCAGCATGCATTGTATCTGGGACCTTCATCCGGTAGGGCGTCATGCGGAATGGATAGTACTGCAGAAAGCCCTCGCTTTTCTTACCACCACTGGAAATGAGGTAAAAATAGAAGAAACCAATTACTATAAGGTTAGGGTTTGTTTCATATAACTACAGGCCTTCACAAATAATCTCTGTCCAGGTTTGTGAATTTGAGACGTTATGTTATTGAACACTAGGGGGCAGTGTCTAGCTATGTTTCCATCCATGTCTGTGTACAATTAATGAGTGGTTAGTGTGGGGTTATGATAACAGTTATGCAAAGTATTGCAGTCATTACATTACATTGAAGGATTGTTATGTGGAATGATTGTGTGTGTTTGTGTCTGTCTGCCTATATGTATAACACTGGCCTGAAACATTTTATGTGACAAATTAATTAACATCCATAGTGGAATGATTAAAAACTAAAAGCAGGTATGAGCAACAGATGGCCCAACATAATTGTTTTGAACCAACGCACACACCCACCTGATACGACAGAAGAAGGACTTCTTCTGCATGGAGTCAGGCGGTGATGACTCTGAAACGGGAGAAAGAAATGTTAGAATTCATAAAGCATCAGGAACCGGCTGAATCTGGGTCTCAGCCCCAGCAGGAGATCAAGCTTTGATTAACTCTCCGAATAAACATCACTGAGGCTGCAGCACCACACTATGAATTTTAACAGAGTCAAGACTTAATGAAGTGCATAATAGGCTGCAATAATCACAACAGATACAGTTCAGCTCTGGGTCTGATGTGAAAAAGAAAATGAAAGTCAGAGGCAACAAGTCTATCTCTGATTATCAGACTAGAGAGAACATAATGGGCTCTCTGAGTGGCTGAAAAATAAATAAAACCTTTTCAAGTGTTAATTGTGAAACAACTCAGTCTTCTCAAGCACCCAATCCAGTCTTCCTTGGTTGAAAGGGTAAGCTTCATGCATTTTATAAAACAGGTCAGGGCAACTTGAATTTAATGGATTACGTTGATGGCTACACATACTACACTATCACCAAGTGCTACACTATCACCAAGCAGCCCTGCTTTCTACTGATCTAATTTTCGTATGAATACTTTTGTGTGCTGAATGTAGAAAAAAGACCTGATCCATTCACAGTGTGGTAAGCCAGTACCAATGTGTTGAAGCGGAGAGAGAGAGAGCCATGTATATTTACCTGCTCCGGTGCACATGCTCCAGGAGGGCAGGCGGTACGGCGTTGTGAAGCTGTAGAACACGCTAACATCCTGCGGCGCCAGGAACTCCACAAACTTGCTGTTCTTAAACATGTCTCTTTTGCACTTTAGGATGGAGGCAGCCTGATCAGAAATGTACACTATTCTTCCTGTGGTGAGAGACACTGCTACTGCAAACATGTCCTGTTGAGGAGACAAAATCCAAATGGTTTACAATAATGCTCACAAACAAGTATTTTTACTGTCAATATTTAATAGTTCTATTCTTTCACATATAATTCAGGGACTCACATTGTTTTTGAGGGTGTATTCTGAAGTAATGCTGTCTATCTCCTCTATCGTATAAGAGGATACATCCTGGCCTGAAGGTTGACTGTCATTGGTCATCAGCAGCTACTATACTCCTCATTGGCTGTAACCCATAGATGGTAATTTGATTAAAATATGGTCACAACACAATAAACAAGACAGAATACATATTATGTGGACATTGATGTTATAAACAGCAATGACGATTCTGTGTAAGGGGTGCAACAAAAAAATGATCTATTTGTAAACATTTATTGTGGTACTCTAAGATGTGTATAGAATTAATACTGTACACACAAAGAAATGTGTGTGGTACAAATAATAGCTATATTTCTAGCTATATGTATTGTAAGGCTTCAGCAACTTAAACAAAAACATTATAACTTGGTGTTAACACACACCAGAGGGAAAAGGGTAATGTAAATGCTCTTTACCTTCCACCTGTTTGACGCAGCTCAGTGCGTACTTGAGGGTGTTCAGTGTAGAGGACTTGCTGTTGTGTCTCTTCTCAGTGGGCATGTGAAGCTTCAGCTCTTTCAGAGTTTTAATCATCTCCTTCTGGGTCTTAGCTTTGGCAGACTCCTGACTACTGCAAGTTGCACAATCACACACAAAGAGGCAAGTCAGATACTTTTACAAGAAAAGCAATTCCTGAAAAATAGATTTACATTTTGTTTATCATTAAACACTTCTAATCTAAACCATATTCAATGCTAGAAAGGGATGAATTTGTTTCCAGTGTTGTAGCAGAGGTCAGTGCACTAACCTGCAGCCGCTGGTTGATGGGTTGTCCTGCTCTGAGCTCAGCAGACTGAAGGCGTTGGAGCTGCTCGTAGGAGACGGACTGTGAGAGTTTGAGCTGTGAGAAGAAGGATAATTCAACAATTTGCAACAAAATTGAGCCAGAAATTACCTTAATTACTTCAAAGAGAGACACAAAAAGAGAGGGAGATCAACTGATTTAATCGCCTTTCTCAGTTAAGTGAAGTTTAACGAAGATATAAATTGGTAATTGGTTCCAGTTTGGTGGTATCATTTTTAAATATATCTGACATTAGGCATGTTTTATACACGCATCTCCTTCTCATGCAGCCGAGACATTTGCTGTTACCAAGGTGCTCCAGCTGACCCCTTTTCTAAATATGTATTATTATCTCACAACGTGGGGTTTTGTTAAAGTGGGCTTGTGGAAGCAAATGGAGAACAATGTGAACACCATTTAGCAGCCAGGCAACAAAAGAAAGCCCTCCAGTCGGAGGTCAATCCTACCTCCTTGTGGAATAAGTGCTCGTAGGGTGCAAGAAGGATGTAAGACTCATGTAGTTGTGTTTGTGTGATCCACTGCATTAACCTACAAGCTTAACTTGACACTAATATGCTAAAATCAGAGCACTCTGACACAGACTCACAACAACTCAGGTTACTATGTATAACATGCTTATCGGTCTCAAACAAATGCCCACCTTTGTAAAAGAGCTCATATGCTGAGACTGAGAGCAAAGGAGCTATCCGAGCATGTTTAACTCTTCAACCCACACTGTTTCAAACAAGTAGGTTCAACAGGCTCAGAAAATTAACATTAGTTTGGTAGAGCTCGGTTATATGGCCCAAAAGGTTTGCCATTAACACATGCACAAATCATACAATTTATTTTATCTTTATGTTAGTTAATTGATGTATCAATGTCACTAAACAGGGTTGCATTGTGAAGTAATAGTATTGTTTTTGAGTAGCGCCCAACTATAGTCTCTCTCTCTTTTTTTTTCCTCAATCACAATATGCACGCCAGATAAAAGCACAAGCCTTAATTGCCACTGACCTTTTGTTGCTTTCAGAAGATTCCAGTATTGCAGAGTCCTTACTGGTGCCATTGGAGCTGCCCATTGAGGCATGGCCAAGACTCTCAGTGCCATGGCTTGTGTTGCCGTGGCTTTCATTGCTGTGTGATTCAGTTCCACTACCGCTGGAGCCACTGCTCTTCATCTCCATGTCCTCCTCGGGGAGCGATCGAGAGCGGGGGATCTTGCGATGCTTGTGCTGCGAGGCAGGAGGGTGCTGACCTCTACTGTCGCTGCCCTCCGATGGGAGGCCTAAGTCAGGCCCACCTTGGCTGTAGCCGCCCATCTGATGCAGCTGTGCCATGGAGCTGCAGGAAGTTCCATCTTGGTCCTGCAGCACAGAGAAGCAGTAGTTCTTGGAGTCTGAATCTCCCGACATCAGGAGGAATGCTGGTCTGGGCTTTTTGCGGGATAATTGTAATTTATTAATAAAAAAACGCTATCATCCCAATTTCACAAGGATGTTGATTGAAAAATTATTGATCTGTGGAGAAAAAGAGAGTATACATATTAGTGATAAAGTTATGCATATTTCAATATTAAGAAAACTGTAGAGACATAATGGTTGAATGATGTACCAATCAAGTTGAATGTAAAAGATACAAAAATATTGGCAAGACAAATCGATGCTTTATCAATCCTCCTTCAAAAAGGGGGTATTTTTTTCTCGTGTGATATCAGAGCACATAGCAGGGCTAAGAAGCCCTGTTCACTTGATTAGAAACTTTCAGAACATCTATGGATGAGTAGTATCATCTGGAAGTAGGACAGGAAAGGAACATTTTTCTGTTAATAATCAACAAATCTGTTGGCCCTTTCAGCTGGCATAGTGAATTGAGTTCAGAATCACCCAGTTTACTTATCAATGACCCGATTCCAAGTAGTTTATCCTGCGTGAACTGGGTCGACACCCAGGCTAATGACCCGAAAAACAAGAAGGATGAACCAGGGTAATATAGTTTGATGAATGCTCAGTACGATAATATGAAGAAATGATTGAGGAAATGATTTATCTTCAGCCCAAATTGCAGCACTTTGCAAAGTTAAACCCTACCCATCCTCTCCAGCCATTATTCCAGTTGCTGCCATCAGGCTGCAGACTGAAAGTCCCAAAGGCCATCCAAAACAATAACAAGAAATCCTTTATTCCACTAGCTGTGACCATTCCTAAAATGAGCCTGTTTAAATAACAAAATGGAACCAAGAATTCAAAGTAAAATGCCCATATAACAGAAGAAGAACACAGAGTCTGTCTATCATAATCAAAACCTATATCTCCAGTTTCAATACTTTCAGGTTGAGACAATTCTATAGCATCCATTTGCAAAATTGAAATAATTGTAGAGATCAATAGATGTTGTGATGTTTACAAAAAGTATTGGAGCTACTGCATAATAATCTGGCATTAGGATGTTACTTTGCGCAGTTAAGCATCTTCCCAAACGTCCTACAGTGTTGTTACTACAGCTGAGTACCAAAATCCAACAAGTGATACAAAAAAGCATGCTTTCACAAAAAGTTTCAGTATCAAACAATAATACCATATTAGTTGACTTTTAACTTGGCCATACAAATCTAATATAATTGTAAAATAAATAATAATTAATGAATTCTTCCAAGAGGCTAATGTCTTGATGTAAGATTATTTACCTCAAACCAAACTGCAATGCGCCTGACTCAGCATGATCAGACTCTATCTGACATCTCTAATCGGTGCTGGATAAAGCCCCCTGCCATGCAGAGATGCAGTAGCCTACTCGCTTTATGTAAGGCGTTTGTACCGGCGTTTTCATGTGACAATAGGCTTGTTTGAGACGCGTTGCGGCTCGCCTCGAAAGTAGACGAGAGTAGCCGATCGCAGCCGGGGGAGGTCTCAAAAAGCTCGCCTGAAGTCGGACAGCTACGAGTCTACGAGCCTCTCCATAAAACAGGGGAAAGTACCCAAAGACTTCAAAATTGCAAGAGTAACCCCCCTGCACAAAAAGGGCAGCAAATTGGACCCAGGCAACTACCGCCCTGTTTCTATACTTACCCTCCATCTCGAAAGTCATGGAAAAAATAGTATATGAACAGGTCGAAAAGTACCTCGCGGAAAATAAACTAATCTATGAATTTCAATCTGGCTTTAGAACATCCCACTCCACTGACACATGCCTTCTTTATTTGAGCGACCACATCAAACAAGAGGTGGACGAGGGCAAGTACTGCGGCATGGTGATGCTGGACCTACAAAAGGCTTTCGACACTGTCAATCACCCCATTCTGATTGACAAGCTAAAAGCAATTGGTTTTGATAAACTATCGGTGAGCTGGATGCAATCCTACCTGGAGGGGAGAGAACAGATGGTGGAGGTAAACGGTACTCTGTCCCCCCCCCCTCCCAGTGAGCTGTGGTGTTCCACAAGGAAGCATATTAGGTCCGTTACTGTTCCTAATTTATGTAAATGACATGTCATCAGCATGTGACTGCAACTTGTTCCTGTTCGCGGACGACTCAGCCCTGCTGGTCTCTGACAGGAACAGGTTGCAGGTTGAAAAAACCCTCAGCTCCGAGCTCGGCAGAATCTGCACCTGGCTCGCCGATAATAAATTATCATTACACCTGGGTAAAACAGAGTCCATTCTCTTCGGTTCGAAACATAATCTCAGCAAATCCGACGACTTCTCAGTTGCAGTGGGCGACATTATTGTCACAAGTAAGAAGGAAATTACATACCTAGGATCTATTCTTGAGGCAAACCTCTCCTGTGACAAAATGGCATCCAATGTAATAAAAAAAGTCAATCAAAGAACTAGATTCCTCTACCGGATCTCCTCTCTGGTAAACAAAAACACCCTGAAAACTCTGGCAGGAGCACTCATTCAAGGGTACTATGACTATGCTTGCACATCATGGTACCATAGCACCTCCAAGGCGCTAAAAATAAAACTTCAAACATCGCAAAATAAACTGGTCAGACTACTGCTTGACCTTTCATCTAGAACCCACCTCACCTCTGCCCACTTTGACAACCTAGGATGGCTTAGAGTAGACGACAGAGTACAGCTACTTGCAATGGGCCTGGTCTACAAGATCCACTACACCTCTATGGTACCCATGTACATGTCAAAATTCTTCCCAAAGGTCAAGGAATACCATGATCATAACACCAGAGGGAGCTCCACAAATCATGTGAAACCCAGATTTGGCACAAAAAAGGGGGAATACACGTTTCGCAATTATGCCACATCAAGGTGGAACGCTCTTCCCACAACTGTAAAGGAAAGTAAAACTATACTTACCTTCAAAACCTCTCTTAAAGAGCACCTTCGGGGGAGAGCATTGCAAAACTGGCCCCGGTAATGGTACAAATCTCAACCTGTCGTTCAATGGACAGCTTCCCCCCCCCCCCCATCTATGTATATACTCGCATTTTAGACTCTGTTACTAACTGTATATCTGTAGACTTGGTATGTCTTAAATGTCCGGTTAGGATGTATTAGAACGAAATCTAAAATGAAAATTGTAAATAAGCAATCTGTATGTAAAAAACCACCTGTATGTAAATTGTAAATAAGCCATCTGTATGTCTTATATGTCTTATATGTCTTAAATGACATGATGAATTGGAAATGGGGGACCCTGATGTAAACAAGACGAAAGTCTTTCTCTGGTCTGCATCCCCTTAACAATTGTATGTTTTGAGCTGTACTGTACTGTACCCAATATACAAGCTGTTAATAAACTTTTCAATCAATCAATCAAAGTCGGCTTCTTCTTCTTAATCTTCTTCTTCGCCTTCTTCGCCTTCTTCTTCTTCTTCTTCTTCTTCTTCTTCTTCTTCTTCTTCTTCTTCTTCTTCTCTCGGTTATTTGGCGGATTGCAAACAACTTTAAGGTGCATACCGCCACCTCCGGAGTCGGCTTGACTCGGTTTGCATTTATAAAGAATGCACACATGTGTTTAATCGTTAATGTCAGATATGTACTAAGTAAATACATTTGTTCCTGCTCAAGATTAGATTCAACTTTATTGTTATTGCACATATTACAGGTACTGAGACAACGAAATGCAGTTTAGCTTCTAACCAGGAGTGCAGTAAAGTGAAAAGTAATGTACACAATAGACAGAATAAAATATAGAATGAATTGAATGATGAATAAACAGTGAGGGGTATGAATACACTAGATATCAGCCTGTGAGCAGTATGAACAGTGTGTATGAATATGCTAAGATATATAAAGTATGAAAACGGTAAGCAGTGCAAGTATAGTATAAAATATATGGATATTAATTTCATGATGATAAACATTGTGGAACAATGATGAAAAATGGGAATGGATGTGGCGACGTAAAACCAGGGGCGGCGCCAGGGGGGAGCTAGGGGGTGCTGAAGCACCCCCCAGGATTGCCAAAGCACCCCCTAAGCACCCCCAAGAAATATGTGGTTTTTTTTTTTTTTTATTATTTTTTTTATTAAATTAAATTAGAAATATTATTGATTGCATCAATGCATATGTGAAACAAACACATTTTTGACCAAAAACATAAAGCCAACACAGGTGATATGATTAGGCCAATGGCCAGCACCCATTCGATTTTTGACCTACCCATAGGCTAAATTACTTTGTGACACTTGAGTGACTTCCTGTTAGCTAGAGCGCCAAATGATTTGCTAACAGCAAAGTGAAAAATTGATTGATCGTTTGTTAGTCCTTAAACGACCACGTGTGGACACTCAATCAAAACCAACTGAAAGCGAGAGGGATTCTGCACATAATAGGCCTCGTGAGTACAAGTAGCTTACTTCTGGGTCTCTGTGTTTCATTCAAGCCCTGCTCTGTGTGTGTGTGTGCGTGGCACGAGCCATTTTGTGTGCGTGCGTGCGCGAGCGAGCGAGAGAGCTCGCCTCGCGCACCAGTGGGTATCTACCGGAGATCGTTGTGGTTAGCATCTGGTGCTAGCTAGCCAAGCTAATGGATATAAGGAGCTTTTTCAACAACAAGGTGGAGGGAGAACTCTCTCCTGTCAGACGGAGAGTCTCAGGTAACCTCAACTCAGGTGAAGTAAAGGACTCTCTCAGTGTTTAGATAGTTAACTTTAGTCTAGTTATCTCAGTGGGTCTCAAACGGTTTGTTTTAAAAGGAGAGTGATTTGTAAAATGTCTATAAAGAAATAGAAAATCTGTTTACAGTTCTGTTTCATATGGGTGATGAGAGATGTATCCATAGATCTCTTAATGTTGCTCTCAAAGTGCACCAGATTGATGCTTTTAACTTCAATATTTAACAAAAAATCTTCCCGGGGGAGCTAGCCCCGGACCCCCCTAGAGGAGGTGAGGACCCTCCTAGAGGAGGTGAGGTCCGCTCCCCACTTGTAAAAATAGCACTTTACCCCTGCCTATATGCCGTGAGCTGATTATCGAGCCTTCATTGTAACAGTCGCGGGTGCACTGTGTGTGTGTGTGTGCGTGGGGAGTGTTGCAGTAGAAAATTCAACTGTAGCGCCGCTGGTGCATTAATGGGAAACCCTAAATGTTTGAGCACCCTCTATGAAACGTCAAGCTACCCCACAGCACCCCCTAGAGAAAATCTCTGGCGCCGCCACTGCGTAAAACTGACACAAAACAACAACAAACTTTTGCCGAGACAATTGGAGAGTTTCATCACCAGCACGTGGTAAAGTCGTTTCCCATCAAGCATTTCGCTTCCGCAGCCCGTGGAGAGGAACTGCGCCGCCTCGCCGCGCCTGGCTCTCAAGGCTGCGGGCGTCTTTGTCCCGCGAGATTTCAACGTCTCATGTAGGCGGGCCTCCAGAGCAAGTCGGACAAAATGACTAACCATCATGCAACGCACTAGCAAGACGTTGATCGCAACTGCGCAGGTCTCGCTTGTCTCAAACAAGCCTAGTGACAGCAGAGTGAGCAGGGCTGGTGTAGTCTACTGACCGGGATTTAGACCCACACTGACAGTTATGTAACTTTCATGGTTTACGTTCAGTCATAACATTTTACATAATTCACAACACAGCACGTTAACGGCAATGTTATCTTCAATGTTCGCACTTTTAAACATACAATCTCTCAATCGCAGAGCAAAACAATTGCAAGTAAACGTAACACTGCATTTGCATTACATTTATGGGCATTATAATTAAACTCCACCAACCTCACAGAAGGCGACTGATCCTGCTGTCTCTGTAAAAAATAAAGCCTTGTATTCAGAGCTCTTTGTTGTCTCGAATAGAGAAAGCATACGGATATCGTCTTTCCCAGGCTGCTCTTTCACGCTGCTCTCTCCCGTTCAGGTTTCTGGATACATCAGGACCATGATCAGGGGCCTCATTTATAAAGGGATATACGCTCAAAAAATAGCGTACGCCAGTTTCTACGCAATGTTTGCGATTTATAAAATACTAACTTGACGGGAAAATGTGCGGTCCTCCACGCAAACTCTAACCCATGCGTACGCACTAAGCACAAACACGGGAGAGACGAGAAACTGCGACACCGCGTTGGCAGAAGGAAGAATGGAGAGAAATATGTGGAAATAATACCATAAATAAAATGTTACCTCTCATTTATCATATATGAAGAATTCATTTTCAAACATTGATTAAAGCCAATCTTAAAATGATTTAACAAACACCTGTTTGCGACTCCTCAGTGCACACACAAACACATAACTTGGAGAAATAAATAAATACGGATATGTTATTTAAAACCACCTCGAATATGTTGTGTTAATGTTATGAAATGTTTT